TTTGCCGCGCAACGCCGTGCAACGACACGCCCGGGAGGTATTAAAACGCGGCCGACTCGCGGGGGCCGCCAACCTCCGCGATAAAGGCGACGTTAACGGCGCGTTAAGTCGGCAAAAACGGACCGAGTCGACCCCCCCTGGTGCGCAGTTCGCCACGAACGGCGCGAACCCTGCGACACCACCACGACAACGATTTTCTTTATTACCCAACAATCCGAAATTAATTCGATTCCTAATTAATAAACCCGAGTTACCTCGATTCCTTGCGACTAATCGCGGATTAACTCGAACCCTCTCGCCCTCAGCAGGTTTTTTTTTCTCCTTTCTCTTCCCTTCTAATGACTCCCCTAGCTCGGGCCGTGGCCATGACGCGAATGCGAGTTATCGAAACGAGTAGATAACCAGTTCGATGGGCTCTTATCAGCGAAGTACGTGCGCGCATACGTGCACTCGTAGCTCTCTCTTCGTCGAGGCTGATAGCGCCGCTCGCCGGCGAGTAGAAAATCGCCGACGAGCGAAACGAGCGGCGATTTTCCCGAAAAAAAAAAAAACCATTTCTACGATTTTTTAATATCATTATGTCGAGAGAAAAAAAAAATAAGAAAAGCACATAAATCGTAGGAAAAAATCAAGTGGACGGAAGTAATACGTAATGCGTGAGGGAAGGGAAGGAAGTCGATAGCAGTCGCAGCGGAAAACGCGGAAGTGTCACCGAAAAGAGGTAGCGCCTCTCAGTCGGTAAACCGAGATACGGAAAAGACGGAGGAATTTACTCGTGAATCACCCCGGCGATGCATAAATCGCGCTAATTGCATAATGCGCGACCGGCGGCTTAATCGGGCGATATCGTGGCCCGCGGTAAGGAGGCGCAGCCGATGCACGTGCACCCCTCCCCTCCTCCCCCCCCCCCCGTCGGGCAAAAGTGCATAATACTCGGGCTCGCTCGAAAACACGCCCCGCGAATAATATCGCGTGGCCGCACGCGACGCGCCGAGTGGGAAACGAATCCGTCTCCGTAGACGGAACGGACGTTCCGAATGCGAGATGAGAAATATTAATAAATGATATAGTACTTCGATCGATGTACCGATGCATAATATTCGAGTTATTTGCTGGTCATTATAGAAATATAAAAAAAAATAATAAAAAATAAAATAAAATAAAAGAAGATGTTCAGTCTTTTATTAATGCACTAAATCGCCCATTGCGACGTATCGATCCGGTGATCGATAATCGATAAAAACGCCGGAGCGAGGTGGTCGCTCTTTCCCGGTGGCGTCCCTGGGGAGCGATTGGAGGGATCGAAGGGATCGAAGCGATCGATTCCCTGTCGTCGAACGCGCTCTTCCGGTCCGACCAAAACGCGACCGAAACGCGACCGAGTCGGCGCGGTGGCGTTGAAAACATGTAAACAACGAGTACGTGGCCGGTCGCGGCTACGAGTTATTTATAGATGGGCCGATTATTGTGCAACAAACGCGGTCTTTACGTAACGGCGTTTTACGCGCGGCTCGCAGCGGCCTCTCCCGGTCACTCGGCCGCTTTTTGCGAGCGGAGCTTTTTGCCAGCGAGCATCGCCGCGGCGCCGCGTCGATTCGACGAGGGCACCTAGGAATTATGTAAACGTACGGGAGGAAAAAAAAGAAAAAGAAAAAGATAAAGGAAGAGAAGAAGAAGATGAAGAAGCGGATACGACATTCACCGATCCTCCCCCTTTCGCGCGGCCTTATCGTAATTATCCGTTAGCGCGGTGTCACCGCGGAGACGCGGGGGTAATCGCGGCGATCCCGCGGAACCGCACTTATCCGGCGCCGCTCGACTCGAGTCGCGTAATTGCGCGCGGGGAAAAATATAGAAAAATGTTACGTACATACGAAAGCAAAGAGAAAAAAAAAATATATATATATAATCGAACTCGCGCAACGCAGGGTTAAAAACGACGTGTACTACGTACTCTGAAATTATGACCGCGTCATTTATAAATTCCAGGGGCGTCCTAAGGTATTTTTAATATCGTCCATATATACGGGCTGATAATTTATGCGATTTATATAACCTACATTATTTTTTTTTTTGGTACCGTTGATCACCCTGGGGGCAGATGTTTGATAGATAAATAATAGTAATACGCTGGCATAAGCTATTATCAATTTTTGTATATCCCTTAGTAATTGATACGATTTACTCGTGGAGCGTACTGCATTAATTATTACGTATTTCAGAGAATCGAGCGAGCATCGGCGGCTCGCCTTTGATGTCAGTAACGCGCGTCGCTTTTGGCGCTCGCTTGGCCTCGGTTCGGCGAATCCCCCGGGAAAGCGTCGGGACGCCGGCGTCTCTCCGCCGCGAGGAGAACCGCGCCCGAGCGGGCGGCGCTCTCCGGCGGCGCCGAGAGGCGGCGTCGCGTCGCTCCCGTCAATGGCGCGCGCGCACGCGCGCAAGGCCGGCCGTTTACTCCGCGAGCGATTACGCCCACGCGCGCGCGCACCGGACGTGCGCAGGGCCGATTAATCGCGATTTCCCGGATCGACTTTTGCCCCCCGCGACCCGCCCGGCGTCGCGACGCCGCGCGCCGGCTTCGCGGAACCCCGTCGACGCGCATCGATCGCCGGTCGATGCCCAGAAATGGGTTTTCTCCTCCCGAGGAGGAGGGATCGGTGAAAACTCTCCAGAAATGATTTCCCCTCCCGACCACCCTGATAACGATAAATCGTAGCGATTCGTAATTATCCGGAGCGAACTTATCATTTGCATACATTTCAGATATTTTTTTTGTACAACGCGATGCCCGTCAAATATCATTTAAAATAAAAAAAAAAATATTTTCATCTATCCCAGATTAGAATCAAGAGCACATTTTTTTTTTTTTTTTCGAATAATTAAATTCAATGACTAATACTGTTCTTTCTTAGGGCCTCCGTAATCGCGTGCCGAGGCGCTTCAAATAATTCGGTGCACCCAATTTGGAGGAAAATTTTTATGAAATATTTTGACGTTTTAGTATAGATATGGAATTAATAAATTCAAGGTCAACGCGATAATGGCGTGGATGGGAATTAATGAAATAAATGTGGAAACGCGATATCGGCGTCGAGGGGACGTAGGAGGGTTAAACATCTCGACAGAAAAAAGAAATACCCGATCTCGTGGGGACGTCGAGGGGGGAGAGGAAGGCGATCGCCAAAATGGCGGTAAAATAAAGCCCCGAGGTCTCTCGACACGCGAACGAATTAGCTTCGCCGGAGGATCCCTACCTCCCCAGGATTTTCTAATTCCAAGGGACCGCCGTTTACACACAATTCCAGGAACGCGAGGTTACCCGTGAGTTCCGAGCAGAAAAGGGGGAGAGAGGGAGAAATCGAAATACCGAACTACTACGCCATAGCGTCTAATCTCGTCCTACAATGTATCTCCTTAACAAAGTATTTCACTCGACAACTTCGGACCGAACGACTGTCCGGAGTCGCAGATTTCTCAGCTGTCCGGCCCCGGATGCAAAATCACCATGGGTGGTTTCAAACAAAAATCATTCATCACAAAAAAAAAACCCAATTAGTAAAGATACAAATTCATAAAATTTTGCACGAGTGGAAGACCCCGATAGAGGAAACTGGGTAGAGTTAAAAATTCGAAAGATTCGTTGTGATCTCGCAAAGATAAAAGATCCATGGGGAAAAAAAAAATAGGGAGAAAAAAAAATATATATATTTACAACTTCGACGGTCCCTCTCTCTCTTTCTCGGTCCTCGGGTGGCCTTGGGCGCTCCGGGGTCGGATTCCCCGAACATTCCGGCGGGAGAAAGACCTATTCCTCCCGTGTCTTTTTTTTTTTTTCCCTTCCTTTTTCGCGGCGCCTCGCGTTGCGCAATCCCTACCGGGCCACAAAGCGCAACACGCGGCCACAACTCGAGCCCAGGGTAATACGCGATATCGCAAAGTCGATCGCGCATGCCGCCGGCCGATCGATAAGCCTCGATATATATAATTACGCTCGCACATACAAAGCACCGTGGCACATATATAAACGGTAAACCAAGAAAAAGTAACGCGTGCACGATACATCAAAACTAGTGTATTAAAATATCGCTTGGCCTCAGAAAAGAGAAAAAAAAAAAGAAAGAAAACCAAGCAAGAAGATAATCCCGAGGTCGAGGCAACCCTCGAATACCCTAGAGTTGCGTAACCGGCATAAAACAAAAAATAGAACGGTTTAAATTAAAAGTCTCGCGTTAAATACCCACTTATTTTATTTTATTTTATTCTACTGATTCTACATGCAAGGTTGGAAATGCGTGGTGCACGCGTGACAATGTTTTGAAGTATCACGTGGACGGGATAACAAAGGAGGGAGATAAATTCACGGGGGAAGAAACGATTCCGGGAAATATTCTCTGGTCTCCGAACGGAATTGCGGGGCCGGGGAAAAAAAAAACAAACAAACAAACAAACAAAAATTACTCGCGACGAGTTACGATCCTCCCGCGCCGAGAAAATCATTTCAACGCCTGGCGATGCATTTTCAAGTGCGAGATCATAGGTTAGATAACGCCGACCGGGGGCGAGGAAGGAAAATTCTGCACGACCCCCGCCCCGCGACCTATATCGAGCAGTTCCGCCGCCGGTCGGCATCGGCCGGAAACCCGACCCGGCGTCGGTCGAAATTCGGCGAAAAAAGGGCGCCTCTCGAGTCACAAAGGCGCTCCGCGCCGAATATTCGAGACGAGGCCCATTGTCCCGCGAGCCACGTTCTCGCTACAAGACCATATGTGTTCTTACGCGGCGCATAACCGGCCGTCCTTTAACCTTTAAAACCCTCTACAGAGAAAAAAAAACAATAACCAAAGACCTCGAGATTCCATGCGTCGCAAAAAAAAACATCGGACGAAGATTAAGGGAGAGAATAAAATCCGAGAATATTTCGAGTATCGTTAGAGGGAGCTACGAAGGTATTTCGATGAAGAAGCCGAGACGGGACTCACGTGTCCGGGTCGGGGACTCACCCGCAGAAGTCAGCCTCCTGGTCCTCGGTGGCTTCGACGATTTCCTCAAGGAGAATCCGCTCGTCCGTGGGAGCGAACACTGACATAATCTCTCGGAATCTCTGGGCGCACCGGTTCGACGGGTCGTAGCAGGAGTCCTCGTCGGCCGGCTCGGAGGACTCGGAGGATTCCTCGCCGGTAGGGTCGCGTCGCCGCGGTCGGAACGCCGCCCGTGAGGCGTGCACCTCGGCGCTGGCCGACGCTTTCGCCCGACGCCGCGCCGCCGTCTCGTTCGCTCCGGCTCGCGCTCCCGAGCCCACGGGGCACGGCACGGTCTCTCTCCCTTAGCGGCGCGCAAATCGGCACGGAGGACTCGAGAGAGAGAGAGGGAGAGAGAGAAAGAGAGAGAGAGCACGGGAGCGAGCACTCCGCGGCCGCACACGCAACGCCCGGACGCGTTTTGTAATGGCGATCTTTGGCGGGAAACAGCTGAGGGCCCCCACGACGCACCGAGATCCCTCCGCCGCCGGTACCAGGCACGTGACTAGGCCGGGGGCTCGCGGGCGCCCGAGCCGCGCCGACCGCCGCGCCGAGCGGTGGCCGCCGCGCGAACTAGCGCCGGCGCGCGCCGCGCCGCCTGCAATGGCGACCCGCCCGAGCCCGCCGGTACGCGTTTCCCGTCGACTCCCTTCCCGGAGGAGATGCTCGGACGTTCCTTCCTTTCGAGAGCCGGCGGCAGCGGAAAGTCCGGGTCGGTCGAGTGCCGCGAAGGGACTCCGCCGGCTTGAAATTCGCCGCGGCCCGGGCGGTGGGGAGCCGCGATCCAAGATGGCGGCCTCTACCCCCTCCGAGTCCCACGACGACCCGCCGCGAGACCGTCCCGTTTCTCTCGCACCCGTTCCCCGCGCGATCCCGACACGGACGCCGAGCCCTCCCTTCCCTTGCGGTCTCCCACCTGCTCCCTTGCCCCACTCTGCCCGCCGCGAGCCGGCGCTTTTCCGTGACTCCCCAAACTTACGGCCCCCCTCGCGGTTGGATCGCGAACTAACGCCAGCGCGCCGCGGCCGCTCGGCCAATCCTCGAACTCCCGACGTTTGACCTTTACGGAGAACCCGCGTGATTAACTCGTAACCGATACGTCGTGAATATTTTTAACGCATTATCCAACTTCCCCGGATACGTCTAGGAATGCGTGGACCCAGTAATCCCGAGAAAACCCTGTAAATTAATTTAGGAAGACCCTCGCTCGATCCTTCGAATTCTAAATGCGACGTTGCGAATTTCTCGCGTATCGATTGATCCCAGGGAGACGGCTTTATAGATCATCCTGGTTGGGTCCGAGTCCAATAAATCGCTCTTCCCCCAGGGTCTTAGCCGGGTAATAAAAGGCGTCGGCACGAGCCTACCTGCCTCGTGCATAAATTCCGATTATAAGCGTGACGAGGAGTCTCGGGCGCCTCCGCGTAGCGTAGGGCGTACGCCGGAAGGCAGGTGTCCCCGCGCGCGGCGCGAATCAATGGCTTCCCCACCCAGGGCTGTCCCTCCTCGTCCCTCCCCTCCTGCGCCCCTGGAAGGGCGCGCGATTCGAAAATATTCCGCCGGCGCCCAGGGATCCCGGCCGGCGCGCGTCAGCCCTGGCACTAGGTCTCCCCGCGAGTCGTCGCCGCCGCGATCCCACCTCTCGAAACTTAGGGAAAAACCCGGACTTCCGGCGAAATCTGCAGATTTTGCGTTCCACCCCATCGGACGAGGATATCCGGCCCCTCCGTTGCGGGTTCGCGGCGCTATTGCTAGAAATATCAATGGAATAGGCGGGCACTACTTCGTAGTCGCGTGGGTTTACGCTAGAGGCGCTGCGCGGCCGCGCGGGAAACATCTGCCAGCTGGCGGAGGCCCCGCCCATAGAATACGCCAGCGTGCCCCCTCCCCTCCGCCCGCGCCCCTATATCTTCGGCCCCCCGCTCCGCCAGTCGGCCGCGCTGGGCGACGCGGCCACTGGCGGCGTTCCGCGTGTGCGTGCGCGTCGGTTGCGCGCGCACGCGCGCGAGTGTACGCGCCGGCGGCCGACCCGGGCCCGAGCACGCGTGCGCCCCGCCGGTATGGGACGCCGCGAAATTGACGGTAGAAAATCTTCCGCGTCAGGTGTGGCCGGCCGGTCGCCCGTGACGCGTTTTTTTTCCTTTTCAGGCCCGGCACACATGGAAATGAGATGCGCCATTCATTCGTACGCCGAGGCGTGCCTCGAATAGAGGGGTTCCTGGAGAGAGGCATTTTTTTTAGGAATATCTCCCCGTGCCGAAAATTCGAGAACGCGGGGGAAGCGGGGATGCTAAGCAGAAAAATCGACGATAGCGGTCGCGAGCTGAGGATGTACGTGCGTGCACGCACACGCGGCACGAAAGTTGGCGACGGAAATTCCTCGCAGGGCCAGCTCGCCTCGAGAACGCGAAATGAATGCGTCTAGGTGGCCGCGATTGTATGCCGCGCGATTCGTATGTACTGGCGATAATTGACGCCGAAATAACGACTTCGAGAGGGAGGGGGGAAAAAAAAAATGACGGACGAGTACGCCGGAAGGAGAGCGGCCTAGAGAACGGGGTCGCAATTTCGTGCATAAAGGGCATCCGGTTTCATTCTTGTTCTTAATTCTCGCCACGCAGGAAGATAGAGTTCCGAGTACGATACGGTGGGCGATAAAGGAGACGACCGCCGGACTTTTCTCGGAACATTATTTCGAGCTCGCACGGGGGCGTTGCGAATGCGAAAAAGTACGTCTCTGTTAATTCTTTCTCTTTACCTTTTCTTTCGAATACGCGTAGCTTACAGTTAATGTACTTTGTATGCTGTATTTTTTATCTCGAGGGAGAATATTATACTATTCTTTCGATCGGTTTAATGGTTCGCAAAATCGGCGGATGAATCTGGCCGAATGAGGTAGTGGCGCCATCTTGCCACGCGTCGTGGAACTTGGGGGCGCGCGCCGATATCTAAGGATCACGAAAACCGGAGGGAAATTTAAAAGGCCTCAGCGTAAACAATGTACCTCGGTCGTTATTTGCAAATTTCTTTACAGTACAAGTGTAAAACATTTATTCTTAGTCGAGTTCTACTTGCTTATGTGTATAAAAAGAAACGTACGACGAGTGAGAAACTTAGAAATACAAGGAGAGTACCGGAGGGGCGGCCTGCGAGCTGATTCCGTTCCGCCCCTCCGCTCGAGCATACTGTATCCGTGTTTGTCCTCCGCAATTGTTGGCCTTCCCATCTTCGGTACGGTTCCCGGGAAATGCCCGGCGAATCCGGATATAATCTTTACACGTAACTAAATTATTCCTAAGCATTCTATTCTTATACTTTATACTGTAATTCGCGTTAACCAGCTGTACGGCCGCGTCCGTATGATTTGCGGGCCGAGGAGTCCCGCGACGCGGAGCATTACTCTTTGCAAGGAAAACGTGTACATCTAACTGCAAACGCGCTACGCTCGAAATTCCCGAATAAAGAGACCTTCTCCCCTAGATGACCCAATTTGGCCCGAGACTCCTAGGCGCGCCGATTAGTTCGTTCTATTAACCGCCGAGGTGGTAGGACGTCCGCAGTCGAGGACGATTTTCTTTTCTCGAAATAAAATTGCACGACACATTACCCTAGGAATATCTCGATACCGGCTTGCTCGAAATAACCGTTCGCTATGGTCGAGCGTTACCCGACGTATTTGTACGAGTATACCGTTTTTGTCGTTCCTCCCCCTTTTTGTAATAAATGGCACTCGAGTAAATTGCTTGTCATATTTCCCATCTCTGGTATTCGGAGAGCCCCTTCGCGTTAGGTCGTGGGTGCTCACCACGGTCGTATCGTACAAATTACATTTGGTCTACCGGCCCCGACGAGTCCCAATTTGGCTAACGCTGCATTTACAAACACTCGCGTGAACTCTCTCGACGAATATTTCGATTCGAAATAACGCTACGGCCAGTGAGGGCGTCGCAAAGACGTCGCGCTTAATAAATAATGCAAATAACCCGGGTTACTCTGGTATACTGAAAAATAGTATTTTTAAACTCGAAGCGGAATTCAACTTTCAACCCTTTGAGAGCCGCGCCGTTCTTCTCCGATTAATTCGAAAGCGTCCATGGGCTCTTAAAGGGTTGAACTTGGCTTGACTGGTTTCACTCACTGTACTCGTGGATTGGCTACATTATTACACCATATGCAATAGAAATGCAGTAGCCACGTAGCAGTAGTTATCTCTTTTTACAGGACGTATTGCCAACCTACTCCAGCCATCGGCTGTCCCAATTCCTCCTTGCTAACCGTATTTACAAAGTCAAAGACCACCGTTCCAATTTTCGTAACTATATGTACAGACACGTCGTTTCCCTCGCACGTCGACAACTGTACGTATGCTCGACGTTCCTCATCCCAATTTGGCATGCTTTGCGATCCCGACGTAACAATAGCGTGGATTTTCGTTTGGATTTAAATGTTCGACCCGGGGGTCACATATATGCCAGATATATTTTCTTTCTCGTTTAACGCAACGGTCTCCGAATATTGACATTCGGAACCGTTTGAACGGTGGCTAGTACATTTGCATTTCATGTAGTGCATTATTAAATCATGGATTTACACATAACGGCTACATTAAGTCAGGAAAAATATCCAAAGTTGTCCTTCGCGGGTATATAAATATAAATAAGTGTAACGTACACTGGAGTATATACTTACACTGGGTTACATGACGTATGCCAATAAATCTACAATTTATAGCTAAAAATTAAACGTTACCGTGGAAATCCCTCTTTCCGATTTGGAAAAGCCAAAAGCCGTCGAAATGTTTGGATCGTTTTGGAACGCTCACGACTGCGTGACTTTCATAAACGACGTCGATTGTTGTACACCTCGAACTGTCTTTTTATTTGTATGTACAATTTTACGCGTTCCGAATAAAGGTTTCAGATTGACTTGCCAAATTTCCAGAATGAAATAACGCGAATTAACCGAGATAGGGTCTCCTAGTAAAACTCGGCCGCGATCGAATAGTTTCACGAAGTGACGTGGTCACGTGTACAAAACTTAATTATCCATCGAAGCACTGAAATTGAACCATAGGTGGATCTTTATACGATCGCGGCGGGTCAGAAAAGAAAAAAAAAAAATCGACTCTAGCCAACTTATTCACACGCACACGCATTACCTGTAAATCCATGTTTAACCTACGTAAATCGGGAACTTACAGAATGTATGCGCTACATTCTAGATTTGCTATAATAATTTTTTTAGTCCTAGTTTCAACCTTTCCTGAGCTGGGTTCACTTTGATTTTCAACTGTTGAATAAGATCGTAGATCTTCAGAGAAGGTCCAACCTTGAAACCGGTGAGGTCTATGATTTGGTCCTTGGTCAACGTGAGCAAGGTCTTCCCGTCGATCTTCCGTTTGCTGAAATTGTCGCAGTAAGTCGCGCAGTCATTGACGCGGAGGAACTGTGCGACGTCGAAGACGTTCCATTCGGCAGGGACCAGTTCACCGGAATCGGGGTTCTTTTGCAAGCCATCGGCTAGCCTGGGAATGTACTTTCCGCTGGCCGACGTAACCTGGAAGCAAACGTAATTTTTTACCTCTAACCGAACACCAAATCACCTACGAGACATTTCCCTCAAATTAGTTATTACATTGATATACGATGTGGCGGTTCTCTCCTTGGGTAGAGGAGGACTCTGGATCTCGCTCTGAGTCTCGTTAAGAGCTTGTCCTTGACCAGTGGTAGGACTCGGCAAGGTTTGATCAGGACCTGCAGGTTCTTGCGCAGGTTCCGGTTCCCTCCCGCCTTGCTCGGGAAGGCTCTCCAGGTCTCGTTCCCGCTCTATCTTGGTTCCCTGGGCCGGCTCGAATTCTCGTTCCCTATCCCGTTCCCTTTCTCGTTCTCTTTCCCGTTCCCTCTCCCGATCGCGTTCCCTTTCGCGAATCACATTGATGCGTTCGCTATTACGAGGTAGAATGTTCTTGGCACAAGCGACCTTGCCGCCTCTCTTCAGTTTCCGCTTAGCTTTACGTTTAAGGCCTCTTGGTGATTTTACTGAAAAGAAAACAAGCGTGTTCCTTTCACTTAAAGTAACGAGAAAAAAAAATCAATGCGACAATTCTATGAAGTCCAGACACGTGCAACTCACCCGTAGGACTAGTGTTTTTATTGACGAGCACTCGGGGCCCCTCTAGCTTGTGATCAACAAGGTCGCACCAGCCAACCGGATATATGTCGGGACTTTGGCAGTCCAGCCACTGGTCGTACTCATCCTCCCAGCCGTCAAAGTGGACTCTGAGCAATCTACCGATTACCCTCGTAATTGTGGCTACGCACACTAATCGTGGATCCATTAAATCGGCGGCTTCCAACCGCATGCCCTCGATGAATCCATGTTGCGGAACCTCCTGCAAAGGGAACGTGTTAGCACTGATATATTTTTCCGGTCAACGTTATATAATTAAATGATTTCGGCATGAGGGTCATTACTCGACTGAAAAGCTGAATCGGTGCGGGTATCGTGTTGGTCTCCGTCAAATATGCGTCCCAAGTGAACGTGGTAGGGTCGTACCCCTTTGGAGGTGTAAGAGGTAATCCATGCTGCGAACAGAATCCAATTGGGAAGATGCACGGCGAACACGAGTGATAGCAGAACCAGTCAGCCCCACTAGCATCCTCGTCGTAGCTGTCGATGCGAATCATGATGTAATCTTCCTTCAAGACTTGCATTACTGTCGCGGCGCATATCGCGGAGAGATTCAACGGGTCTATTGCCTCGATCTTCATCCCTTCCCGAAACGTGTAGCCGTGCTGTAGGTGGTGACTTTTCGGGACGAAGAAAAGGCCCTCCGTTGCATCGTCCTGGGAGAGCTTGCCGCAGGAGATTCGCTCCAGATATTCCGGATAGGCGTCGAGAGTTTGTCCGACCCTTTTGGCCCACCCAACTGGATGAATCAACGGAGAGTCCTCGTGGCACCAGAAACCATTGTCTTCTGGCGGCGAGTCGTAATACCTCACATGTAAACGCTTCCCCACGATCTTTTGGATCGTCGCTACCTTCACCTGTGAGATTCTATTTTTATCGACCACCTCTAAATGGAGACCGCATCGAAATCGAGACTTCATGCTGTCGTTGACTTTGTTGTAAAAGTTGGTCGTCAGCGTCCTCGCGCCAGTCAGCCTCCTCATGAGGAAGTCTTTCCAATCTTTGTACTTGTTGGCAATTGCTACGAGAGGAAGTTGTATTTAACTCGTATTTATTGCTCGTTGAGGTAGACATCGATATTCATTGCAGCATTCCTGTACTTACTGTTTGGTGGTATGAGGGGTTTTCCGATGGTTGCACACCAACCGACTGGATGGATGTCGTTCGAGCAAAGTGAAACCCAGAAGTCTTTGTCTGCGTTGTGCCCAAACCCCTCGTACCTCAATAATGCTCTGTATCCAGAAATTCGAAGTACAGTTGCGACCCAAAAAGAATCTGGGAAAGCCTCACAGACTTCATCGCAATCAGTATTTTCCACTTCAACCTTCATACCAACCGTTATGTTGTCCCATATCTCTGATATTGGGGCCTGAACATGAAAATTTATAGGGACTCAAGGTTAGTATTTAAATTTAAGAATTATCTGCATGACTTAAAAATTTATGAAAGGTAAACTAACGTGTTTAAAGCAGGAAACTGGCGCAGCACAGAAACCTGGTTCCGTTAGCTGCGGAGTCCAATCGTAAGACCCTGCCATGTCTGCCGTTCGCTTTCTTCTCACTGGCAAATCTTCGGGCATTACTGGCTCAGCCACAACCTTTTCTTTTTCTGTATCCTCACTTTCGTTAGGAATTACTGCTTCCTCCTATATTAATCGAGTCATTTAGTGTCTAATAAAGTCTTATTTATTTTTTAATATCCTAGCAATAATTCCAGTTTTTTTTTCACCTCTTTAATACAAGGTTTTGCCTCATTCGGTGACGATGGTTCGGTTGGCATTAATTGTTCCAGTGAATGTGATGGACTATAAGTCGAATCGGCAGTAGGAGCTGTATGTTCAGAAGAACGGGCGCATGCTCTGCTACAAAATCTTCGTTCCTTCGTGTAAAAGGCATGCTTCACTCCAATTGCACCACATTTTTCACACACAGCTAGTCGAAGAGCAGAACAAATTTATTTCATAACCTATGATTCACCAATGAATTAATTCATCAAAACGTTTACTCACCGATACCATCTTTACGGATTGGTATAAAATTTAGATCTGTATGCGGTTGGTATGCAATGGGCGTTTTCAAGATAAGCCCGGGATGTTTAATGGGTTTAATTTTACGATTGCGATTGTCTTGAGTAGTCTGAGTAGCTGCATTAGTGACCACTTGTTCGTGTTCTTCATCTACCATATAATCTTCTAATGACAAGTACTCACTCATTTCCTGTCTTTCAGAATGTGAATCGTACTCCTAGAATCGGTAAACAAACCAATTCCAGCATAAATATCAAGAAAATATACACCATTTTACGGACCACAAATCTATACCCTTACATGATGCATTTCTTGCGCATCGACCATTTCCACAGCTTCTTCAGGTTCAGAGCACTCATTGGTAAACTGGGTAGGTAAATATCGCACCATCGTAGCAGGTGCTATATGATGATTTCGGAGATCATCGAAGGAGTGAGCGCCGTGTGAGAAAAAGGGACTTTCCGCCTGACGGGGGTCCAACATGAGTTCATGTGCCGGCTCCCCGTGTACCATCATGTCACCCATCCACACCATTCCCAGTTCAGGGATGGATGCATACACTGAATTCAGACAAGTAGCCATTCCTAATTCTTACGAGAGGCGAAAGATTAATTTTGAAAAGCGTAGGGAGCAAAGGATAACAAATGCAATTGATACGTAAAAAACCCATCGCAGAAATTATAAGCACTAGACATTGAAACCGATACGTTCACAGGTTGACCATATGATCATGTTATTGCACAGTTTACGATAATTAGATAGGAAATGTGCTCGTAGAATGTCTCAATACCAAGTGCCGCAACTCTCTGCCTGATAAATAAAACAGAGAAACGAGGTAAATACAACATGTGCGGGGGTGGAATATCGTTAACAAGACTTTAGAACCGTGTTCCCGAAACCGACGCCAGGCGTCCCACAAAACCCGCATTTATTTAACCTTTTTCCGAGCAGAGTGCGAATAACGAGCAACGAGGGACCGGCGGTCAGCCGATCCGCTTTCCGTGCTGGCCTCTCGCAACAAATTTATAAAGCCGGAAGGAGTGCATAAACGGATGGGACGCGAGACGGAGAAGGGAGGAAAATAGATACGAACCATTGGGAGCCTGCATATCCATGACAAAGGGTCCCCTGCGGGTTTCTTTGGCGCTTTAAACCGATATTACCGCAGCCTATATCTCCCGCGAAACGGATGCTCAATTCCAGTCGACACGAGGGGCATTATCGCGTCGAGGCTTGCATCCCGTCGTTCAAAATCATCCCAAAAGCATCGTTTTTCGCGACATCACCGAACAACGAAGACAGCGTTTACTTTTACCACGGAAAGTGCAAACTGCTATAGAACTCCTTCGGTGGACAGCAAAGTAAGATCTAGGGGGAACTAGACCAATTAAGAGAGTCTAGGGAAGGCTTTCCTGAGAAGAGCAGCGCCACTTAAAAAAAACTATATCCATGTCTCTAAAATCACTTGCAGAAATAAAATGATATTCCCTAGATGATCTAAATAGTAAAGAAACTTTTCCGTCAGAGTTAAATTGACCCTTGTGTGTAAAATGTATTATGCATGTTAATATTTTATTTTTATAACAGTGTTGGAGACGATTGTGACTGCACTGCCAATGAAATATCGACTTGACGTTTGCGCTACATCTGTCGCTCCATTAGAAATTGCCGATGGATTTCTCGCTTCTTTTCTCAGCCGCTAGATGGCTTAGCTGACGAAACGAGTTTTCGCCGTCTATGGGCAGATTCAATTCATGACGGGCTCTCGAAGCGGTTCGTTCTCACAATCGATACATCCGGTTCCGGGGCATCATTCCGGCGCAGATTCGCGCAAGTACGCCGAGACGCCACGAGATATTCGACGTCGGCCGACATTTTCCTTTGGAGTAAGGTGTACGCGTTGGTGACGAGTATTCGCGTCCGGAAACGCGATATTAACAAGAATTAACATCGATTCACTGATCTCGACCGATTTGGGTGAGTTTCTCCTTGAAATTGTGCATGTTTCGTCGAGTCCGAATCCCGTAATTGTAACTTTGGTCTGGAGGTAGAACCGGGAGGAGCCGCTAAATCGACGCGACTAAGCCAACTGCAAAATTATTGATTTACTACCGATTTTCTCGCGTTAAATGTTGATTTTGTCATGAAACATAATAAGTTAATTCGATTAATCATCATTGAGTATAGGTTAACCTCGAGTGAGGTCGGGGTATGACTTATTGGGCTCCATGGACTAGGCTAAGCATTTTTGAGAGTTCAATTAATGTCATTAGTTTTTATTTGAAAAAATTGATATTAACCATCGGATAAATAATGGTTTGAGAGTCTATGGTTTTTAACTTCTCTTGTACAGCCAATTGCATCACTTCTCCAGTTTTGTTTTTGAAAAATCATGTTAAAAATGAATGAATTTCTTTCCGTAGACCTTCGATTCTGTACCCGTTGTCTGGATTTCTTCGCTAATCATGAGTTACGGTTACAACAAATACAGGTTGGTTGTGTTAAAACCTATCGTTTATATTTGTACAGATTTTTTGCTAAACGACAGTAGTTTATTGGATCATAAGCAATTTAATTAGGAAAAGAAATAAGTAACGATTAATTTCTTCGTCGATGATTTGATAGCTCGAGTATGAGCTCTCGAGGGCGTGGATTTAACTCCCGTGGAGGCAGCTCTTACAGAGGACGGGGAGGAGGTGGAAACGATTGGAATAGTTCAGGAAGCGGAGCAAATATATCTAGAGGCAACTATACCTCTCGTGGAAGCAGATTTAAATATTCTGCTCCTGGATACGATTCGCGATCCAAATATCCTTCGGGTGAGTTCATATTTTTATTGGTACCTATAACGTTCCTTTCAACATCCATAATATCCCAATACAAGTATTATTTGCACTTTAGGAGGATCCGAGAGATACTCATCCAGAGGAGGCAGAGGTGATCACTCCAGTAGCTGCAAGCGTCCACGTGTGAGTAACGAGACGCAATATAATCCTTGAATTTAATCGAAAACATGTTAAAAATGAGTATTACGCAATGTTCAGTTTGACCGTAACTTTCAGGATTCCTATGGAGAAAGAGATGACCATAGATCATCCAGTGAATCAACACGCAAGAGAATCAGAAGCGACTCTTATCAGGTATGTAATCCGGAAACGAAGGATCGTTCAAATTTGTAAAAGAGGTTTAGTAATACGCATTTTTAACTGCACTTTTGCGCTTTAATAAGCATCGGTGAGCACTGCAAAAGAACCGTAATCTATAAATTACTTCCGAAGGATCATTTTGCGAACGACGAGAGTTCCGAAAACAGTTCAAAAGACTATAATTGCCGCTTTACTCGTGCATCTCGTGTTATGTACGCGGTTGCTACAGACTTGCCACATCAAATGAATTCCATTGTTCGTTTTTCTCCTACAACTCGCAAAGCGTTGCTCCAAACACGAAATGCATTGACCTAAGTCGACAGAGTTTTAACTTGTTCGGTAATTGCTTGCACTAGTCCATAGAAAAACGATCGATCTCCTTCGCTCGTTAGCTTAAACTCGTTAGACAAGGAACTCATAAGTTGTCATGCTTTCCTTTCAAGCGACGAGCCGACGGCCGCTCGAACACCCATTCTTTTTGTGTTGGGAGAGATAACTGGTGGAACGGCGCAAAGCTCAAAAGTTAACGGACGAAATGTCACATGTATACCTAGACGATCCTCACATTGTTACGCACATGCGTTCAGAATTATTAGCCGCTGTGAAAAGCGCGAGAGAAGCCTCGTCCTCCGGACGAGTCTAAGCATCTAAAAATTTCGATAACTGCGAACCGCGTCGCAGCAGCCTATATAGCGAATGTCCCACTGTAGAGAAATAACGAAAGCGCCGTCATCGAGCTTTCCACGACGATGTACGAGCAATAAGTGTTAGAGTACTTAGAGAACGAGAAAAAAGCTTAACGCCGCCTGGTCGCCATGAGGTAAATAAGAAATAAGAAACGAGCATTACGCCGAAGCTCCGTCCCGAGCATGGAGATCATTTTCCAAATTGTAGCACTTACAGCTGTGCCGGTGAAATTTCTCATTGGTCCACCTTGGCGGACCCTTTCGCCTGATAACTACCGTAAGAAGTATAATCGTTATAACCTCTGACACCTTCCCTCGCGCACATTAAATCACCTATTCCGGTATCGTCGAACCGGTTCCGCGCAGAGTTTCATCTCGAGGTCGTCCCCTTGTCGGCTTATCGCATCCCAGACTGGGAAGACTTGACATCCGAAAGAGGCGCGCATCGTACGTATATATACATCCCTCTCTCTCCACGTAAATATATATATATATACACGTGTCAATGGCAGCTGATAACGATAATGGCATTGCTAGTAGAGAAACGATCACCAGAGAGACGGAACTTAACCCTTTCCACCCGAGGATCGGCAGTAAGCCGATCGATAATATATCTCGTAGTCGCATATACTCGGCTCCGTCCCTAATTTCGAAGATACACGAGTACGTACGTACATTGCCAGTCGACGACGGAGTGTCAACGATCGGCGGAATAATGCTATAAGTACATCTCCCGTAGTTAACGCTACGGACCTAGTTTCGTTAATCCAACGGTGTCCGACGATCCGGTACGGTGAGACCGTGCTAGAGTGCCAACTCGTCGGACGATCGGAGACTCGCACGGTCCCGTACACGCATTAATCGAGTACACACCATAGGACCGTAAGGAACGTAGAGTCGGACCTCTAACCGAGAAAAAAAAAACAAAAAAAAAACGACGAGCCAGTCGGTAGAAAGCGATGTAATAAAGTAAAGGGAGAAGAGCCGGGTGTGTCGAAGGTAACGAGACGTATATAGAGACAGAGGAGAAGGTACATATACATATATATATATCCATAAATACATATATAACATAGAGACGGATAAGATAAAATAGAATCGAATAATGTCAAGTGCAATAAGGTCAAGTCAAGCAAACGGAACGAAGGAAGGATGTACCCGGAAGCGGAGAGAGAAAGGGCGAAAGGGAGAGAGCGAGAGAGCGAGAGGAAGGAAGGAAAAAAAAAAGTCGAAAATAAATTTGAAAAACAGAGAGAGACACGGAGCACAATTGAATTTGGTTTGGCAGGGTGGAGGCAGCGGATCGCAGAGGTACTCGTCGTCGTACGGCGGCTCGTCCGCCTCCGGAGGGTACGAGGATAATAAGAGATCGTCGTCATCGGCGGTATACGAGGACAAGAGGCAAAGCGAGCGAGCCTCGTCGTACCACCGGTCGGAGGATCGTCACTCGGCGTCCAGGAGTTACGCGCCCCCGCCGCCGCCGCCCCGCATAAGCGAAATGGCGCCCCCGAGTATGAGGTACACCTCGACCCGGGGTAGAATATCCCACCAGAGCGCGGGCTACCGGGGCGGCCGGGTCTCTAGCCGCGGGGCTCGCGGCCCCGGATACCACCGGATGGGCTCCAGGTCGGACCTCGTGGTGGCGCGGAAGCGCACCCTCAACTCGCTCGACTACCGGCGCAAGCTCCTCGGCTCGCGTTCGCGCGACTACATCCAGCGGGTGCGCATGACCTCGACCAAGTTGCGCAGGAGGTAATCTCAACAATCTCTAATTAAATCCCTCGCATCCCTCTTATCGACCGAACCCCGCGTGGCCCCCCGTTCCGCGTGTACCCGTGGTCCCGGTGTCGAGCCCTCGCGCCGCTTCCAAGGCGTACACCTAGAACACATATATAAATACCTAGGTTAACGTATGTCATTGAATATCGGATGTACTTTAGATGTTTCCATGCGTTTGAAAAAAAAGTGCGACCTGAGAGTCAGACCACGAGGGCGAGGGCGACGTCGCGTAGGTCGGCGAGCAGGTGTTATATATATAAAAAAAATAATAATAAAAGGTGAAGAAGAGAACCGAGAGCCGGCAGGTATAGAGCATGCATGAGACCTCTAACGTGGACATGGCCACGCACACGTAGATCTTGATTAACGTTTTGCCTTTTGAAGGATACTTATTGGGATGTCGAGGCACTTTGCACGGGACCTTTTGGGTATTGCCGATGGGACGATGGCGTGCATCGCTCGCGAATGAGCGCACGAGATATGTTTATACATGTGCAGTTGATTGTATACGTGGGTTTATATGTCAGGATTGAGAGAGAAGCTCGAGGCGCTTTAAATTTCCGGGAAACAGAGGGAGACCGAGAGAGAGATTGCTCAATTTAAAGCTCTGGAGGCGTTGGACGAACGGTCCGGGTCGCCCAGGGGACTGTGTGTCTAGAAATTCTGATTGTCGATTAAAAGAGGCCACGAGAACGAAGGTCGGACGGTAACGGTGGATGCCAATTGAATTGTCGAATATATGAATGCAAACATTGCTGTGCTGCCAGTGGCGGTACTGCTAGGCTCTCCGGAAGTAAAAAGGACACCGGATCCACCATGAAGGACAAGGACAGAGAGATGGCGAAGGCTATTAACGCGGAGTTCTCCGACGACGAGGAGGACGACGACGAGACCAAGGACAATTGGGACGATGACGATAAGGTAATTGAGACCTTTCTTATTTCACTTACGTGGACCTGGCTGTATTTTTAATCCTGACAATGGTTACCGCAGCACGATCACGACGAGGACGACGAGGGCGAGGACGAGAAGAAGAAGAAGGAGGAGAAGAGAAAGAAAGACAAGGAGAGACAGAATTCCGACGACGAGGACGAGGAGGAAAAGGACGAGGACGATGACGAGAAGAACGAGGTAAGAGTCGTGAATATAAATTAATTATTTGTAGCCGTCCGATAATTTTGTCCTTGATTTCCTTATCTGCAGGTGGACGAGGACGATCCCGAGGACGAGGAGCGAGTCGACAACGAGAAGACCGAGCGAAGAGGCAGCATGGGGTCGGAAGAGCTGCCGAGCAGACGCGACGGAAGGCGCTTCATAAAGCTGCACTGTCCCCACTGCGATCACAGGAGCGTTACCTTCAAGGAGTACTCCCTCCATTTATATTCCGGGCGGCACAACTCGACCATGAGGAGTATCGCTGCTCGACACAAGGCCACTCTCGCTCGTATGCGCGTTCTTCAGAGACAGGAACAGCGGCGGGTCGAGGTGCGAGACGCCGCCCGGGGGACCCTTCCTTCTAGGACGATGTTCTGCCCTATCTGCAAGCTGAACTATCGTTCCCTGAAGGCCATTCACCAGCTCTCGGAGTCCCATCGACAGATGAAGCGCTTCCTCACGCCCTTCTGTCGCGTTTGCCGCATTCAGTTCCGCTCGCCCATGCTCTTCGAGACCCACGTGTGCTCGTTGGACCACATCAAGGTAGGGAAATCTTGAAAGTCATATATGAATTTTTTAAATGAATCTCCCAGTGAATTTACGCGATCGCTTTAGCGCAAGAGCATGATGGAGGAAAGAATGAAGAATGGAAACACTCAGGCGGAGCCAGAGTCGAGCGGGGCCGACGAGGACGACAAGGAAGTCAACCTCGACAACTTCATGACCCTGGACTCGGTGGGAGACGTGGACGGTAAGTAGGATGTAGTTTACGAGGAGTTACTTTGGCGGTCGGTGATGTATATCCCTATTTCGAATCCGGTAGCAGAGGACGAGGAAGAGTCCAGCGAGAAGAAGAAGGAAAAGAAACCAGAGGGCGAGCCTCCGGCCGAGCAACCTCCGGAGAGGAAGATCAAGCAGAAGCAGACCATCAAGGTTGGTGCGGAGTACATCAAACGCGTTGAGGTACAATTCTGCGAGCTCTGCAAAGTCTACCTACCACGCAGCGAGAACAGCGAGAGAGCCGTGGCACTTCATTGCTCGACTCGTAGCCATCTAAAACGGTAGTTATCTTATTAATACGAGGACTGACTGCGGCCGAATTTTTGATAACCATTTGCAATGCATCTTAACACCCAGGTACGTCCGTGACAACGACGACAAGGCTCTGCGACGCCAGGCGGAGAGGATACACCTTCAGACCTCGTCGACGGTCTCCACGAATGCAACGTCGAATTCCGTGAACGCCGCAGAGATCTTGAAGACCGAGCCTTCGAGTCCGGAGCCATCCGCCTCGGCGAATGGCGCGACGACAACGGGGGCGGAGGCTGCCGAGTCCTCTGCGGAAACGAAGGACTCCGAGGAGAAGACCAGCGAGTCGGTCGCGCCCTTGAAGAAGGAGGTGATTAACAAAAGCGCCCAGGACGAAGAGGATGACGAGGACTATCAGGGCGACGGCGGTGACAAGCTCTGGGACGACGTGGACAAGGATCTGGGCGACATCCTCAGGGAGACCGAGCCTGGAGCGAAGTCCAGCGACGACGAGGATTCGCGGTACGATCGGTTCCGCAACTCGGAGAAGAAGTCGCAGCAGGAGAAGGAAAACGAGGAGGATGCGAAGGAGACCGAGAGGGAGGAGACCAGTGCCAACAAGCCGGAGCCTAAAGCCAAGGTCGAGGTGGCCGAGAAAAAATAAGGTCGACGGAGACGACGTCTCTCGCGCGGTAGAAGAGCCAGGCTGGGAATCCAGATGGAATGTGGAGAACGCTATCTCGTGTTGGTTCTACGGAAAACCACCTTCTGCGAGTATCTTGCATCGACGAGCCATTCGAACACAAGGGAATTGGCGTTTATTACGTTCCCTCACCCTTTATGCGCATCGAGAGCCTATGTTTCCACGGTATCTTATAATTGTAACGTCTCTCAATTCGAGAGGATTGGTTTGCTTGGGTAGAAGGAGCGAGGGCGCGATATTGCACGGTGAAGAGGACGCCGAATGCTTTGCCTCGCTCCTAATCAATTCTACTTTCCCCGAGGGAACGAAGAAACGGTAGAGATCGCCCAAATCGGAATATCATTGGGATCGTTTCACACAATTGCGAGTAGACCACGAGCACGTTACGCTAGAGACGCCCATTAATTTGCGTCTCGTAAACGAGAACATGTGATTCGCGTTTTTTCTATTCACTTTGAGATAAATTGTCCTGTCACGTAAGCGACGACTAACGACCGTCGGTTAATCAACGCTGACGCAGGTGTTCAGTTTAAGACCGATTTAGATTGCTGAGTGCGCCTAAGTACTGCCGGACCGGCACAAGGAACATATGCCACGCCGTGGATTCAGTTATTCATCCACTATTAAGCGTACAGTTGATAAGTCTAATCTACGCAGAGATATTAGATGTTAGTTTGTAATTATTAAGAAGTAATAAAAACAACTCTGAAAAAATTGATCGATCATATGGTACGGAGACATTCTCTCCGATGTCATGTACTGATATTAATTTCTTTCAGTCAACCGTTTTTTTGAAAAATTAAGAATTATTCCTTTTCGATGGAAATTCTAGTTATTTGGGGAAGTCATAGAGGGTGAGTCCTTTTTTTTTATGAGATGTTCTGTGGAAATATATTCATATGAAGTTGAATTTAATACTGCATGGAGACATATTTTTGCCTTTACTTGTTTGGTTTTGTGGTGACGTGTCACATTAAAGATTAACGTCAAATTAATTGTAATTCGGAAACACCCGGTATCTCTCGGTATATGCCGTTGGCTCAATGACGCAACGTAAACAAAAGCTTTTGTAGAATGCAACGGATTATTGTAATAGGAAAATTAATTGCACCATAAGTTAACTGTTTCTAAAAATAGTAAGGTATGTACGTAATGTATTGACTGAGATTGTTTTTTGGATAAAGCGATAGGAAATGTTATTTATTTGACGGGTAATACAATTCTAACCTCTTCGTTTAACCAAGTTACAGTTTAGGATGGCAACAACTGGTCTAAACATGGATGCGGAAATTACTGAACAGCAGATTCCTATTGAGGAATGTGGAAACGGTAATAAAACTATGACCACGAATATTTCTATCAGTGACAGTAATGATCTAACTGCGGTGGAGAGCCTGCGATGCTTTGTTTGCGATGTGAAAGTGCAGGGCCGTCATTACTCATTAGCCACTTGCAGAACCCAGAGCTCTAGGGGTAGGGTCATTGAAAAGCTAGGGGAGTTGGTTGGCGAGAGGTAATTTCAAGTTCCCTCTATCGATATGTGCTTCCTTTATTTTTTAATTGAGAAAAAACACATGATTTCAATCATTTATAGATATCTGGTTGTTATCTCGGAAGACGATGTAATTTGTCGCAGTTGTGCCAATCTGATGAATACTTTAGATAGATTGGAAACGGAAATGCGAGGAGTGAGAGATGCAGTGCTACGGTTTTTGGAGCGGAAATATGCTTTGGCAGATGGTGAACTTTTAAGTAATTATAAGGGTGGAAAGCCGTGCCAACCTCCACGAATTACTAGGGTGGAAAATGGCAATACTTGCCACTCGAGGAAACGTGGAGCTGGTCTTCCCTCGGAAGGAGTGCAAAATATGAGTAAACTGAGAAAAACTGATGTCTGGCTGCAGTGCAATAAATGTCGCTATACTACAGAGTATAATACTTTTATGGTCCATCACATAAGACAGCATGTTAAGCAGAAAGTCTTTTGTGACCACTGTGGTATACAATTCCCTGGTCAGCAACAACAAGCTGGACACAGATGCTTTAAGGCTCAAAATGAAAATGATACTTCTAAGGAGAACGATGGAGATGTTGAAAATGGTAAGGTACTTTTTTGTTAAAAATATTACAGAGAATGTAAATCTATATACTTTTTCATAGGTCTGCAAACTAATAACCTATCCGAAATAAATATAGGACCTATTGACAAGTCTGAGGTAATTTCCACACTGCCTATCCAAGTAAATTGTGATTCAGAAGCGACAATTAAAGATGACAGCATTCAGTTGTTACATTTATCCAATACCAATGATCTTCAGCTTGAAAGTATTATGGGAAGCGGTAAGTTTTTACACATAACAATAAATGTTTACGCTTTTTTAATTCATTTTGTTTATTTTCCTTCTGCAGCCAAAGTCGGTGTACATGATCAGCCAGTATATGTGAGAGTTGTTCGAGACGTCACAGATATCGACGGAATTCCACATTCCGCGGCAGTGAGAAACTCTAATGCAGAACCAGGAATGATAGTAAAAGTCGTCAAAGATTCCTCCAGCAAACAGCTGTTAACTCTGTCCGAAGACGAAAGCTTAGAAATGGTGGAAGTGGCCTGTTGGGATGACGTTCATCCCCCTGACGAAAACCCTGATATATCTTTCTAATGAAGTCAATTACAACCAAGTTATAAGCATTATTTACGTGTTTTATTGATTTTAACTCTACAGCGAATTCACGCTACATCAGTTTGTTCTCCATTTATTTACTAGACCCATCTAAGTACCGCATGTTACTCAAAGGATTTGAATATATCATATCCTATTTTGGGACCGGCCGTGCCAAGGGAAAAAGAGGTTTTTCCAACCTGACTACCTGCATTCAATACCGCATCGACGGAATCGCTGACGTCCTGTTTCTTCTCTACGACAGTTTGCGAAGCGGCATCCGTTGCTTTCTTCAATTTGTTACCCCAGAAGTCAAAGAAGCCGCCAGGTTTCTGGAATCAGGTAGAACGTGAGCAATTCCCATATAAACGTGAGACTCACCAATGTAATAATTTAATAATCACCGCGTTTATTTCGACCTTCTTATCCACATTGATTTCATACCCAACCGATGTGGATTTATCAACGTTGTGACCAACGTTCACACTGGGATGAGCTACGTTTACCTCTGCGTGTTTCTTAGATTCCTGAGAAACAGGTTTTAAGTTATGTTTAATCTTTTCGAGACAAATGATCTAAGCGATTATTCCCAAATTGTTTAACTATTCTCACCTCATCAAATTTGTTGAGAGCAAGCTGCAATTTGACCTCGAAATTCACTACTGCCTGAGTTAAGGCATCGATGATAGGTTTCTCGTGTTCAGTAGGCACGTGGCCGCTTAGGGACTCGTGGATCGACTGTAAATAATAGAATTACGTTTAAATAAAAGGAAAATCGTTTTATCTAATCTTCGAATGAATTTTTCCATTTTATCTTACTTGCTTCGCCTTTTCAATTGCCAGTTTCAGATGTTCTACCACAGAGGCTAGGGCATTATGTATGTCAGCGTAAAAAGCTGCTTCATTCTGATGGTGGCCAGGCTTATGTTGCTGCAGTGCCTAGAAATATGAAAAATTACATGCTAATGATCGGTTTTCTTGATATTAATAATTTAAGATAAAATATTCATTAAGATTTAGACGTACATGTTTGGCATTTTCGAAAGCAATCTCTAACTGTGCCGCAGCATCCTTTATGGTTGAACAAACGTTTTCAATGATGTACTTTCCGTGCTCATTTATAGCATGGTGTCCAGCTTGTATTACTCCAGTCGCTGACTATTAACGAAAATATTATTAGTGGTATAATATTGTGGATAATTAATTTTATGTAGTTACCTCGTGTATTTTATTCGCGTCGTTATGCCATTGATGATCAGCAGCTTCAATTGCAGCATGGATGCTCTGGTAATAAAAAAGATGACTTGTAATCTAGGTCGGAATATATACAAATTCCTTATAAGAATTAAATGGGATCAAAAATGAGAAGGTACCTGTTTGATCTTATTGTAAATGTCGACAATTTTCTCCTTCTTTGCTTCTAAGTGATCGTGAATTTTTTGCTTCTTTTCTTCGAATTGATCGTGAATTTTCTGCTGGTAATCGTTCACCTTCTAGAAAGTAATGACAAATTTATCTATGTTTATTTATTACATTCTGTAACAGAATGTTAAGCATGCGTTCTGTAAAAATAATGCCGATGGTTATTACCTCTTTAAGATCGTTAAGGGCATTTGATATTTTGTTTTTGCCATTTTGCACGTGTTGGTGGATTTTTTCTTTAATGCGGTCTAAGGCCTAAAATCAATTAAATCAAAATTACTATCACGATTATTCGTGGGCAATAGGTATGAATAACAAGTACCTCCTTAATCTCATTATGGCCATTTCCACCTTCAACGCCGATATGAACATTTCCTCCGACGTTCTGCAGATATAAAAAAAGTAGATGAAACAATAAACAATTAGTACAATATTAGAGTGTATTTATTTCATTCGTACCCCTCCAATATGATGACCATGTCCGTTCTTGTCTTTATCAACTTCTACTCCAATATGTACGTTTCCTCCAGCGTTCTACAAGCACAATTTAAAAAATCGTTCAAACAATCAGTTATGGGGAAAAACTTAAAATATGTTTATATGTCTTTACCCCTCCAACAGTATGATGACCGTGTCCATTCTGATCAACTTGAGCACCAATTTGCACGTTTCCTCCAGCGTTCTGCAAGCATAACAAAGTTCACGTTGAGCAATCAAGAACTGGTATAATGTTAAAATGCATAATTTATTCGTACCGCTTCAGTTGTATGGTGGCCATGTCCATTCTTGTCTACGCCACCTTCAACTCCAATTTGAACATTGCCTCCGTGTCCTCCGACACCCTAAATAGACATCAAAATGTCGGTTCAACAAATAAGAACATTTATGATATCAAGATTTGCTTGTTTTGTTCGTACCCCTCCAATCGTATGATGACCATATCCGCCATTGTTATCAGTTTGTCCGCCAATTTGTACATTGCCGCCAATTTCGTGAGAAATCTAAAAATAAAGAATATGAGTTTTATTAACAATTTGAAGAAAATAAAGAAGTCACATAAGGAGACATTCTTACTCCTGCAGATGTATGGTGGCCATGTCCATTCTTGTCTACACCAGCATCAACGCCAATTTGGACATTGCCATGACCATGTCCCAGTTTATCCTTCACAGCTTCTAATCCATGATGAATATTATCCTTGATTTCATGAACTTTCTAAAATATTAATTTATAAAAATAGTATTCCATGGTTCATTTATAGTGCTGTACATGATGAACAGAAAAATAATGTGCCCGTACGTCTTTCACTTTGTCGTTAATTTCTTGCAACTTGTCTTTTCCTGCTTGGATCTCGTGATGAATTTTGTCACCGATTCCATGTACCGACTAAAAGAAAAATGGAGATTAAATAATTAATTAATGTATCATTATTGCAAAGTAACTGACTACGTACTCCTTCGATTGTGTGATTGAATTGGAACTTCTTGTCATTTCCAAGATCTACTCCGACATGGATGCTGCCTCCGATTTCGTGAGAGCTCTGAAACAGGATTAAAAGGTCAATTGAAGAATCATAAAATAGCAATATTAGTATGAGGTAAGAATTATTCTTACGCCTCCGGACGTATGGTGACCATGGCCTTCCTTGTCTTTCCCAGACTCAACTCCAATTTGTACGTTGCCCCCAATTTCGTGAGAGGCCTGAAAGCATATCAGTTATGTCGACAAGTTAAGAGGACGTGACAGCAATACAAGACAAAATTCATACTCCTCCAGACGTGTGATGGCCATGGCTGTTCTTGTCTTTACCAGCATCAACTCCAATTTGTACGTTACCACCGACTTCGTGAGAGCTCTAAACAATAAGAATTTTATTAACAAATCTAAATACATGGCAATATCGAGTGTAAAATAATAGGGTTCTTACTCCACCACTGATATGATGACCATGACCATCCTTGTCTTTACCACCTTCAACGCCAACTTGAACATGACCATGACCGTGGCCTTGGTGAATCTTGTCCTTAATTTTGTCCAGTTTCTGAAATTAATTTTTTGGGTTAACACGTGTCTTCATTATTTTGAAAACCACATATGACCATTAGACTTTGTCAGTACCTCCTTCAATTTGTCATGGACACTTCCCAGGTGATCCTTTCCAGAGTCAATTCCGATTTGGACGTTGCCTCCTACTTGGTGAGAGCTCTAAATAGAAGTAGAAAGATTTTTAAAATACTATGAAAACCTGATTTTTAGATTTAGAAATAATTATTCTTACGCTTCCAGACGTGTGATGACCATGGCCGTCCTTGTCTTTGCCGGTATCTACTCCAACTTGTACGTTGCCACCAACTTCATGGGAGCTCTAAGAAAAAAAAGTGTGTTTTTTTTTTATCAGAATATATAACAATATGTAGAGTAAATTAAATACTTACTCCACCACTGACATGAACGTGACCGTCCTTGTCTTTACCACCTTCAACTCCAACTTGGACATGACCATGGCCTTGGTGAACCTTGTCCTTAATTTTGTCGAGTTTCTGAAATTAATTTGTTGAGTTAACACGTGTCCCCGTTATTTCTAAAACCAGATATGATCATTAAACTTTATCGGTACCTCTTTCAGTTTGTCGTGGATATGTCCCAGCTTGTCCTTTCCAGAGTCAATTCCGATTTGGATGTTGCCTCCTACTTCGTGAGAGCTCTGTAATGTAAAACACGAATTCAATTCAATAATGGTAAAAAGCCTGATATTAAAATTAAGTGATAATTTCTAGTAGTAGTATTCTTACGCTGCCCGACGTGTGGTGACCATGACTGTTCTTGTCTTTGCCAGTGTCAACTCCAATCTGCACGTTGCCACCAACTTCGTGGGAGCTCTAAAAAAAATACAAGTTGTATTCATAAATAATAACATATGACAGAACGTAATATAAAGTAATAAAATTCTTACTCCGCCACTGACATGGTGACCATGACTGTTCTTGTCTTTGCTAACACCGACTTCAACTTGGACATTGCCTTGGCCATGACCAATTTTATCTTTGCCAGTCTCTATTCCGTGATGAACCTTGTCCTTAATTTTGTCTAGTTTCTGAAATTATTTTATTCGGTTAAGATACATCTTCACGGTTTTGAGTTTGCCAATACTGGACGTTATCGTTACAAGTTCTCGTTACCTCTTTGAGTTTGTCGTGAATGTGTCCTAGCTTGTCCTTTCCGGAGTCAATTCCGATCTGGATGTTGCCTCCTACTTCGTGGGAGCTCTGTAATTTCATATAAAAATTCAATTGAATATAAATAAAAACATGATATTAGAATTAAATAATAATTTCTGGTAGTAGATTCTTACGCTGCCAGACGTGTGGTGACCATGACTGTTCTTGTCTTTGCCAGTGTCAACTCCAATCTGCACGTTGCCACCAATTTCGTGGGAGCTCTAAAAAAATACAAATTATATTGACAAATGAGAATATATGACAGAACGTAATATAAAGCAATATGATTCGTACTCCGCCACTGATATGGTGACCATGACTGTTCTTGTCTTTGCTAACATCGACTTCAATTTGGACATTGCCTTGGCCATGACCGATTTTATCTTTGCCAGTCTCTATTTCGTGATGAACCTTGTCCTTAATTTTGTCAAGTTTCTGAAATTAATTTATTGCGTTAACACGTATCTTTATTATTTCTAAAACCAGACATGACTATTACACTTCGTCGGTACCTCTTTCAATTTGTCGTGGACATGTCCCAGCTTATCCTTTCCGGAGTCAATTCCGATCTGGATGTTGCCTCCTACTTCGTGAGAGCTCTATAAGTAAATATAAAAATTCAGTACAAGTATAATCAAAGTTAATCTTGAAATAAGGCAATATTTATTCTTACGCTTCCGGACGTGTGATGACCATGACCATTCTTGTCTTTGCCAGTATCTACTCCAATTTGTACGTTGCTGCCAACTTGGTGTGAGCTCTAAAAATATTTGATTTTTATTGTTAGATCAGAACATATGGCGGAAGTGTGAAGTAAACGGATTCTTACTTCTCCACTGATATGATGATTGTGGCCGTCCTTGTTATTACCAGTTTCAACTCCAATCTGTACGTTGCCACCAACTTCGTGGGAGCTCTAAAAAATATCAGTTTTATTAAAAAGTAATAATACGAGCCAGTATAAAATAATGTCACGGGATTCTTACCTCGCCACTGATATGACCATGACCATCCTTGTCTTTATTGACGTTGATTCCAATTTGGACATTGCTAGCATGTCCACCAGAGCTCTGAAAATAAAAAAATTAATTAATAATCCGAGAATATTTAAAACAGCGAATCAAAAATTAAATTGTTCGTACTCCTCCAGTTGTGGTATGATGCCCGAGCTTGTCTTTACCAAAGTCCACTCCAATTTGTACATTGTTTTCAGCGTTCTGAAGACATAACAGGTGTTATCAAAAATGTTCCACACGTGTAGAAAAATTTCCTACATTTTTCTTACCCCGTCAATCGATGTATGATGTCCTTCTCCCACTTTATTTCCACTGGTGTCGATTCCTATTTGTACGTTGCCTCCAGTTTGATGATTTGTCTACAAATTGGAAAATGTTTGATAATATTTACGCGGTAAAAAAATTGTATTTATTATCTGCACCCTATCCATACCTGTAACCCGGCATTCAGTCCGTGATTAACAGCACCAGTCACCGTCTAGAAATGAGAAAATATCAGAAATGCTTCTACTGTGTGCAAATTCATAAATTTCGCTAGTTCATTAGTATATCATTGTCATTTACCTCCTGGACTTTCTTATGACTATTTTCCAATTTGTCCTTTGCCGCTTGGAGCTTGTCTTGCAGACTCTGCGAGGGGCCGCCAAAGATCTGGAAAAAGATCTTACTATATTATCTATTACTTTACAATTACAACTAATTAATATCCCTCTCTGCCGAGAACGTACATTGCCGAATAAATCGGTGCGGGCGAATTTATATTTCCCGGCGTCGATTCCATCAGACTTCTTGTCGACGTTGAAAGAAACTCCGAAAAAGTCGTCGTCTTCCGGCACTGGTGCCGACTGTGGAGAAAGAAACGTGTTATTAGAAAAAAAATGTATAACAAATTATAGATAAAATCTTGAAACGATTGGACGACACCGTGGAGTACTTACGAAAACGAGGACGCTTCCGAAAAGCGCGAAAAGTAAAATTTTGGGGATCATTTTTTTGGGAGCGCAACCTTCCCTCTGACTTTGGCCATTTTACCTCCTGCGGTTTTATATGAGCGAATGCGTAGAGCCACATATGGGGAACAACTGGATCAACAATGAATTTTATGATTAAATAATGATTGCGCGATATTCGCGATTTACGCCTAAAGGGGGGACATGAGCGTTTCGTATGTACAGTATCTCGGTGCCACTTGCAACAACAAAGCGCACAATTTTCGTGATCGTTTTTGGCGATTTATAGGTCGACGCTTCATCATGGAAGATGCCCGGGCAAATGAACGTTTAATTACGCCGTTTTCGCCAGTTTTTTTGCCATTCGTCCTTGAATATCGCGTATCGGGTGTATCCATTTCAATCGGCGAGTAATCGATTTGCATTTAAACTTGTTCATTCTGCATGTAGTAACAGAAGTCAACACAAATGCAAGATATTCGCGATATCTGTTTTTATGCACCCATTCAGGGACTTAAATCAATGATTTCAATACATCAATACTTTCGAAATACTCAGCCGTTTTGATTGTAATTATTTTTGAAGTTTTAAACAATTGTACCATATTTCACCGTTGATTGTTGTATCTTAAATGTGCACTGTCGGCATTTGAAATGCGCGCGGATTCAAAATGGCGTCGTTATCCGGTCTTCTCGAGCGACGAATGGAAATCTTCGAGATGGGGGACCTTAAGTAATATCTTTCGACGCCCTTAGAATTCATTGTTCTTCGTTAATAATTTCGAGCGTGTTACTAATTATTTATTAGAAAGTGAGTATGGACGACGAAATGGTTAAATAATATTTTATTTGTTGTTGGTGAACTCTCAAAGTAATCGTTCCTTTCCCATTCGGAGAAATTCTTTATCTTTTTCCTTTCGTCATTTACCGATGGAGGAGCGCACATTTCTAACCTAGTTACAGAGTCCGTATTACGGTTGGACGTCATATCGACCGAATCTTCTGTGACGTAAAATTATTCCCGCCAACGGAAAACGCCATTTGTCAAAAACTTTGAAAGTTGTTTTTCAACTGCGTGAATAATGTGGGTTTGATTGTCGTCATTCATCAGAAGTTTCTACGAAACGGTTCAGTACATACAGACAAATGTTATTCTAATTGAGCATAATAATTAACACAGCCCTTAGATGGCCGATAACGAAGTCGCCTCAATTTGTAAATTTCCTACGTTAAGATGAAAACAAAGGGGACCAAAAAGAAAGGAGCGTTCTATCCCGAGGAAAGTTTGGCTGGAGATGACTGAACAAGATTCATTGAGTTTTTCAAGATAATAATTGCTGGTACTACATTTTTTTAAAAATGGATCATACGGTGACAATGGCAGAATTAGACTGCAACATCGAAAGTATTCTGGAAAGTAATGAAAAAACAGAAGCAATCCTAAAGCTCATGACAGAATTGTTCAGTCAATTCACATGTCACCTCTCCAATGTCATCGAAGAGCATCTTTCAGAAGAAAATGGTAAATGATTTTTTTTTTGTTTCTAATCGGACCAATTTCACCGACCTTGCTTAATGTTCTAGAGCATGTAAGGAAGATTGCGGAGCAAGCGGAAAAGATTGCCCAGTTGCATGAACAAGATCAAGATTTAAAATCTAAGTTGAACGCAATGCAGTTGCAACAAAAAATTGTGGATAAGAAAATCAGTGATAAAACTAAATATCACGAACAGATAAGAAATGACATCGAACAGATGAAATCGCAAAAGGACAGTTTCTCACTGGAGATAATTGATTTAGGACAAGGTAATATGTTTTTGGAAGATAATTTAGACATTAACATTGTTTTAAAATAAATAGTCTCTTAAATAACGATCTTTTCATAGAAATCGAAGCAAGGAAAAAAGAAACAACCGCTCGTCATGATGCTCTTAAAAGAGCATGCAGTGCATATAAAACATATCTCGATTTTCATATCAGTCTGGAGATAGTGAACGACCAGGAGCAAGTTAGGATTTCGTTCTTCGCATCAGAAACCAACGAAGACAAGAAGTTCTTTGTTGATCTTCTTTCGTCAAGCGATAGCTGGAAAGGTTCGTAAAGTCGCCCAAAGTATACATACCGTAATTCTTGTACTATACAGGTGACATAACTCGTGTACTATTAATTCAGTTCAGCAGATCCGACCAACTCTGGAGAATCGACAGTGGGAAGATCTGAAAAGTGTTCTGACTGCTTCCAAAGAATTCAAGCAATCCAAGATTACAGCATTCCTCTGCTTATTAAGGAATATCTTCTTGAAGCACTATTTAAAACCCTGACCATTGCCAACGGTTCGCTCCCTTACGTTAAGATACGAAGTATGGATAAGTACTAACCGCAAACTTAGAAGAGTAAAGCCTTTATTAATAAAAATTAAGATATCTAAAAACGTTCTGTAGCATATACATTTCAATTCATATATTAACGTCAAACGTCCTTATTAAAATATAACGGTGTATCGTCTTAACGATATAGATTCATCGTAAGTTCTCCTCTAAAGGTGTCGTTTTACTCGTGGCGGACATCCTGATTAGCGATCTGGTCACTACTGGATCGGAATTCAAAAACCTTCGAATCACAGCGCGGATAAATTACTTACATACTAAGTTACGTACAGGTATCGGCTTTACCTACGTATGGCACCTATGTATGTAACTCTAGTCACTCGTTTTAAAATACTTAACAGTTAAATTAGTTTTGACTTTGTGTCCTAGCTATTTAAGCTAGCAGTCGGCACGAACGGCTGCCTCCTACGAGATACTTCGGATGGTGGAACGCAATTACTTGCCGATTGACATTGATATACCCCGCGGAGCTTCCGGAGCAAGACGACGCAGTTCTAGGCAAGACCGACAGCGAGCGAAGAACGTACACGTGGTCCGTGTAATCATCCGAGCCTCCGCTACACGAAGAGGGCCAATTTATTATGTATGCGCGACGTGTGTCGATAACAATTCGTCTCCATTGGCACCGGTTAATAAGGGGTCAATTGATCGCCCACTGCCAATCAGACAATCGCAAATGCGAGAGAGCGCGACTCGGCGGATTTTATTTATTTCATTGACCCGAGGAGCCCTGTCGCTCTCTTTTTCTCTCATTCCGTCTCCCCCTCGCTCTCTCTCCACCATTCTCTATAGGAATCGACGGGTTTTCGCGAGATAAATCGCCGGCTCGGGTAACATCGATCTCGCATTAGGATCTTTCTTCTAAATTCCTAAATTTGCCAGCTCGAACCGCAAAACCCTGAGGTCTACCATCTTGAGCGTGACTAGCCTAGCTGGGCACGAATGTTGTTCGACAAGGTGATAGCTACATAAAAATATATATATATATGTTTAAATAATAAATGCGAGTATGATCTCGTTTTTGCTTCGAGGAGATTTACGGATGCCTCTTGTTTCAGAAAATACTTCAACTTTGGTCCAGCTGAGGCCTAGCTTCGACTCTTCGCTGATCGCTCGAGAGGAAGGCCTAATCAAGTGGATTTCGCTCTTCGGCCGTAATACGTGCACATTATAGGTAACAGAAGGAAGGACAAGAGCGAGCGAGCGAGAGAGAGAGAAAGAAAAGATACGTCGATACTTTAATAGCGGCCGCTCCGGACAGCCCAGAACAGCGTCGTAAGAATGGGAACTATGTACAGTGCCTACGCAACTATCGTCGAACGAAACTCGCAATTACTTTCTTGCACTCGGGCTGCACCCGTGCACCCGAGCAATTGCAGCAATCGATGATAATCTCGAATTGCGATTTCCCAGTCGACCGTGGGAGTCAACGGAGCGACCGCAGAGACGGGGTGCTAGGAATATCCTTGAACGGATCCACGCTCAAAAGCGGGAAATGTGTACTTGGCGCGAGATACCACCAAAGTGTCCCGACCTTAAGGGAGGAACGAGAACGCCGATCCCGAATTGCGGGGAAAAGGAGAGGCAGAGAGCTCGAGAAGGGAAGGAAAGAAGAAGCTTCCGGTAGCCGGGATCCCCGGAGCGTCGGCGAGGACTTGTAAATAAATAAAAGGGACACGTCGACATCCCTTCCGCCGGTTTCTCCGAGTCTACCGGGACGTTTCTCTCTCTCTCTCTATCTCTCGTTTTCTCCACTTTTCTGCAGCTACTCCGAGGAGATACGGGGGTATATCCCTGGCGAGCTCGTCCGACGAGGCGAGCGGATGGTCCTGAGATGGATAGCGAGAGTCCTTTCTTGACCGATGAGACGTTTCCTGGGATTCCTCGTTCACCGGCCCTCCGGATCGATGATCAGAGCTACTCGAGGGTCGCTGCGAAGGAGACATTGTTCCCGGACGCGGAAACCGCCGAGACCGCCTGCAGGAACAGGGTCGGCGGCAGCGGTGGGAGCGGCGACGTCGGGACGCCCGCCGTCGTCGTGACGGTCGTCGCCGGGGTCGTCGGACAGTCGTTGGCCACCCCGTAGACCTTAGCGTGATTCACCTCCAGGGATACGGTCAGATCTGCCAGGCCGGCGTCGCACATCACCGGGTTATCTGCAAGCGTCAGGGAGGGTCGTGTCAGGCTTTGTCGTCCATGGGTTACGTAACGCGAGAGAGTTGTCACGAGAAAGGTCGAACCCCGCGTCAATGAACCGATCCGATCGGCCGCGCCATGAGATGGATCGTCGACTAGAAGAGACATCCGACAGTTCCCCTGATAATACCGCCGCCTCGTCGTTAACGACGCGTCTTCCGCATACGGAAGGACCAATGTTTCGTTTCCAGAAATCGTTGAAGTAACCGTGACGTTAGGGATCACGTGGCGACCGGCAGGGCCGCCTCGTGAAGGAAAACTCTGCGCCGCGACGACCGCTCGAGGAGGCCGACGCGAACAATAAATAACGCGGGGCGAAATGAAATATTACAACGATGGCGCCGTGGGTTATCGCGCGGTGAATGTAACTCCTGTAAGAAATAATGCGCGCGTTATCGGCCAGTTATCCGTCCCCTCCAGGAGTCGAGCGGCCGATTGCGAAACGTTTTTCTCTCCGTTAATCGACGCGCCGTTGTGTCGCGCACGCATACACGGGCTACCGGATTATCGGTCCCATCCTCTGGAATACTTTATAAGTACTATAAAGCCAGGTTTTCCCAGCATTTGCGACTCTGCCGCGAGCACACTCTGGCAGGTACCTTGAAGGTAAATGCGCAGGACGTCGGGCACCCCGTGGACGGTGCACCGGGTGTTGGCCACCAGCTCCGGCGTCAACGAGCGGATCTGGTTCGCGCTTACGTCCGCCCAGCAGAGTCCTGGGAACCCTCGGAAGTCGCGCTCCGAGAGCGTCACCAGCCGATTGTGAGACACGTTCAGCTCCTCCAGGGTAGGGAGCCACGTCTGGAAGCGGAGAGCATCATCGTGAAGATATGGAAAATCGAGAAAATGGAGAGGAGGGACCTATTGAAACGCACCTCCGACGTGTCCTCCAAGGTGGTGAGTTCGTTGTGCGACAGGTCGAGCACCCGGAGGCTGTCCAGCCCCTGGAGGTCGCTCAACCCGATCATCGGCCCCAGGGCGTTGTGACTCAGGTTGAGCCTCTGCAGTTCCTTCATCCCCAGGAAGAGCGAGCCCTCCAGACTTCTCAGCTCGTTGTGCTGAAGCCGCATGTCTTGGATGTTGGCTCCGGCGATCTCCTCGCCCTCTTCCTCGACGAGGTTCTACGAGGGGGTAAGAAATACGTAGTTAGTAACATTAATCGTGGACGAGGGTGGAGGGTGGAGACCGATCTAACCTCGGTGGATGGTCTGCTCTTGTAGAGTCTGGAGATACGATTGCTGGACAGGTCCAGGAGGCGCAGTTCTCGTAGACCCCGAAGAGACGAGAAGCTGAACTCCTGCAGCTCGTTGTGGGTTAGGTTTAGACACTTGAGCGCCCTGAGAGGGTAAAGAGCACCGTTGCCGCCGATGCCCTCCCCGTTGACGCTGCCCAGGGACTTGAGGGAATTGTGCCCCAGCTGAAGCTCCTCCAGCAGCTCCGTCTCCAGGAAGTCCTCCTCGGTGAGCTGCGAATCGGAGGACCGAGTTCCTTTCATCATCCGGGATTTGATCCTCGAGGTGGGACGGAAGGTAACTCACCTCTTGCAGGTCGTTGTAGGAGAGCTCGAGGAACTTGAGTCGCCGGGCCTTCTGAAGGGTCCCGGCCAAGGTGCGGATCTTGTTGTGCTGCAGGAAGAGCGACTCGAGCCGATGGAGGAATCGGAACTCCGCGGGCAGGTGGGTCAGCTGATTGTCGACTGCGTAGAGCATCTTCAGGTTGTGCCCGGAGGAGGGCAACTCCCCGTCCAACGAAGCCAGCTCGTTAGAGTTTATCAGCAGCCACTCCAGCTGATTCAGATCCCTGTAAGTCAAGGACCCTCTTGGTATCGTCTCGAACTTTTCCCCCAGATCCACCGGGGATCCTCGATCTGGGAAAACGTTGGATTTTCGCGAAGCAAGGGACCTCATACTTAATTGGAGGTCGACGTGGATGCTACCACGCGTTAATCGGCGATCATGCGAGCGTTCGTTAGGTCGCCGATAAACGCACCAATTAAGGAGGACTCGCCGAGGGAATTGTAAACAGGATGTCGAGTCGGATGGACGCCTCGCTCTCGTTACATATTGCTGGTACTTACCGTAACGTGCGATTCAGGGTCGTGAGGTGGTTCCTGCCGACGTGGAGGTGCTTCACCAGGGGCGGCAACGAGCCCGGGACCATCTCCGAGATCGCGTTGCCTGCCATGGAGAGATGCTGCAAGGTTGGGTTGTACTGAAACCACCAAGAGAATCCCACAAATCAAGGATGTCCAACTTTTTATGGGGGCCAACCACCGTCAAGATATTAGGATAACCGGAGATTAAAATCGGCCGTTAGGTGATCACACCTGAAATCCAGCGGTTAGCTCTAATCGTGCGTTAAGTAATCCTCGATTATGGATTTTAATTCCAACGTTGCAATCGAACCTTAGCTTGTCGCGCTTTTTTTTTTTATTTGCATCCGTCCTCGTTAACCATTTTCAAATTCTGCTGGTCGATCCTTATCGTCTATCGTAGACGATAAAGTCTGGTCGAGTGCGGCAATCGCGGACGCACGTGAAGGATCGGCACGAGACCCGGCCACTCCTCGATGAGAGTCGGACTCGTTTAATGGAATATATTATGTACTGTGTACATACGTGGCCGGTCACGCGCACACGTGAGCCGTTTCCTCCCGCGTGAATCGCCGTTTCGCTCGGCGATTTATCATCCGTTACGAATTCGCGAGACGCGAGGAACGGACAACCCGGGCGAGGTTATACGTGCTTATTTGCCCCGCTCCGTCGTTATCGGCGACGAGAGCCGGTGACGCTGTCCTGGCTCCCGGTTATCGGTGACGCATCCGTGTTTACAAGAACTCGCCTTCTGTACGGGGTGTCTTTTAATCGCTGCCCGAAGGAACTTGAATCGAGATACCGCCGCGGATGTTAAACGGCGTGTAAGCGTTAAGAACCGAGACCCGGAGGACGTCTTCGTCGACGGTGTTAAACGTAACGACACGTGCCGACAAAATTCTCTCGGCTGCAGTTCAACGGCACCGTTCACGCTATCACGTTCTATTTGTTATAAAAGAAAGGGAGAAAATGAAACTCAAGAGATTTCGAAAATCGGCAAAATGGCGCCTCTTGGAAGCTTAACCCGAATCTCCGTGAAGAGTCGCTTTAGAAAATAATTGTTATTAAGAATTACGAGGAGGATTTTAGTTAACGTGTCGCAGGGTCTCATTTTACGAGTTGGGGTATTAATGTCGTATCGACGATGTCTATCGAGAGGTGGCTCGTGTCTCCTCGCGGTGACGTCCGTGCTCGTCGATAGAGCACCCTCGAGGGTTATTTCCGTCCCCCTCGTCGGTCATGCGAATGAGAATTCCCTTACCTTAAAGTCGTCGGACTCGATGCGACCGATGCGGTTCCTGCTGAGGTCCAGGGTCCTCAGCAGGGACAGGTGAGCCAAGATGTGCCTGGGTATCGAGGGCATCTCATTGTCGGCCAAACTCAAGTACTGAGTGCGCCCAAGACCGACAAATACCTCGCCGTCGACATGCCTGCAAGTACAGCACCATTAACCCCTGCCGTTGCTCCAGAAAAGCGAAATAAACGTAAATTATTCTACGCGGAAATTCGCCCAGCCACCCTGTATCAATCCCTGCCCATTGATCTCGTTCCTAATCGAATCTGGCTCCGTTAGCTATCGCGAGACTTCTCTCCTCGAGAGAGGGGAAAAAAGAAAAGAACAAAAGGCGCGAATTAAATGAATGAAAGTCCACGAGGCGTGTTGACGAAAGCGAGGCGCAATACGAAAGCTCGGGAAATATTAGCGATAATTGGAGGCCCCATTGAATTGGCCATGCGGAGCGCAAAACAGAACGTCTATCGGTTTAATTATTCACTTGCGGACTCAGGTTCTCGTGGTTTATTATTTAATTACCCCGCCGACGATAAATGTACGGCGTACAGATAATTCCTCCCGCTCGCTCCCCCTCTTTCCCACGTCCCGCGAAAAAGGTCATGGCGGCCATTTTGCATTTTCAATTCGAGAGGCGATATTAAATAAAAAATTACGAAGAGGAGCAATTCCAGGCGAGCGGGGATATATTTACCGATATTATCGCTTTGAAAATCACGGGATTATTATCGGCGCCTGCGGGAAGGTCAATTATTTGTCGTTTATTAATCTTTCATTGAAATAGCTAACTTGGCAGCGACTCGGGTCACGTGGTTTCCGGTGTTTATCCGACCTCCAGGAGGCGGTCTCGGAAAAAGCAAGCCTCCCGAAGCAAAGTGCAACGCGACGGTATCTGTCGGATATCGCTGTTTACGATTCACTTCGCATTCCAGAGATTCCCAGGTCTGGGGCGGACTCGGTGGCCCAGAAAAATCCGCGAAAATGTTCGCCGCCTCTGCAAGTGAATGAAAAGACGCGCCGCGTGGGACGTCGAGTCGATAATTCACGACGCTCGGCGTCGCCCCGAGCAAGCCGAAGCGTCCTCGACTCTCTCGTCGAGGGAACAACTCGAAGATCTAAATTCCAGCGAGAATCGCGAGAAAAGAGAAAAGGAAAGAAAAGAAAATCGTGGGGGGAAAAGTTCCCGTGGCCGAATTTTTCTTTACCGGGAATGCTGGAATTCGCGTTCACCGAAGGACGTTCGCGAGGTGATCGAGAAAACGAGTAGTTACGTCGATTAATGGTCAGCCAATTCATGGGAAGGAGACGGTCGCTCCTGCTAATCCTGACTTGAAGGTTTTGCAAATGATTTTTGATAAGACTTTGCAACGAAGGGACCAGAATCGACATTTTTAGCCTACCTAGGACCTTCAATTATGAACCGGTTTAATTTAACCGGAGTTTAAGTGTAACAGAAGGCTTCTGTATAATCGGGGTTCTAATTTAGGACTTGAAAATGGATTTTCATTTTTTTTTTACGTTTAAGCGTGAGATAGGATTTAATTCCTATCAAGTCGGATGTATATTAGAGGGGTTGGAAGGGGTATGAATTTAAAGTAAGGCCAAAATCTCGACTTAGGTCGTTTTCGCGACGATTATCTAGATAACTTGCCGGGCCGTTTTGCGCTCCTTTATCTTGCTAGTTTGTTTCGTGCGAGGCCTCCGCGGGAAAAAGAAAAGAAGGCGCTATCAGTGTCTAACGACTCTGGCATTCTCTCTGTTCCTTTTTTTCCTTTTTCCAACCGCCGATTGCTCCAATAGTACAAACACCGATTCAACCTCGCGGACCCTAGTTTTGTCTCTATCTTTCCGGGCGCATAGATATCCCGCCGGGACGCCGGGAAAAGTGAAATAAAACCGAGCGATAAGAGATAAGCCCCGTGCACACAAGCAGAAAACTGGCGAGAGTCATTCACAAGTAAATTAATCCCGACGCACGAGAGCGGCTTAAGGAGAGATCAAGAGGGCAACAATTACTGCACTCGGCGGTGCATACATCTATCTGCACGTAAATAAACAATAATACGCGGAGGTGCACCGATTCCTTATCGAATTACCGCCGATCAAATTTATACAAGTACCTCGGTTAAAATCGAGACGGCCATTCGTCACCGTTTAAGACTCGAAAGAACTCGAGGAGGCGCATTAACTTCACTTAGGACCACGTTACTTGTCTCAATTTACAGGGTTATCGAACGAGCTTTACGTGCTAATTGTCGGCCCCGATTAGTTCCTCGATCGATTCCTAGTTTAGACATTTTCTAGAGGGGCCGATTAGGGATTTTCCCGGGGAGGTGAGCAAGTAGACGGAGCGTCGTACGGCCAGCCGAGAGCCCCGTTTGCTGCAGTCGGTGATGAGCACGTCCACCGTGGTCTTGGTTTTGGTTCACTTTTTTTTTTTTTTTTGTAAAATCAAGATCAAGACCAAGATCGTTGCTCATCATCGGCTCCAGCTAGGGGAGGAGCTCGAAATCGTCCAGGTGACCCCCGGCAAGATGGACACCTTGACCTTTCGGTCACGCGGGGAGTCACGGATCGCGACGCGACTCGCTCGATAACGCGGCCTGCTCGGTCTCCCTCTGAAGTGTCTCCGGATAAGAGGTTATCGATATCGCGCGTAGTACGCTGCTCGCTGGCCGAGCACGCCTCGCGGTATAGAAGAAGTCGACGAGGCCGAGCTTCTCCGTCGAGCGGACGACTCGGGACGCGGCGCGTCGCGGTGGAAGCGTCCCGGCAACCCTGACACTCCGGACCGCGAGCACATCTTAACCGCGGAAAAAGCGACGGGAAATTAACACCGCATCGCCCCTCGAGTTTGTGCCATTTCACCTGAATTTAAAAGGAGAACAAAAAATACTTTACATAGTGAATTTTGTCAATACCGATCATCGACGCATACGAACGCGGTCTTTCGGGAGTTCTTCCCGCAATTTGGTCAACTTTGTCGTACCTTGTCTGAGATAATTTATATAAGAAAAATGGTGAACGATTCAACGACTCGAATTTCCGTGGCAAGGTCCGGCCAGGATTTTCCTCGCGTCTAAGAGACGTAGTTAGAGAACAGGAACTTAACGATATCGATCGATAACGCGTATATATTCGCCTTGACCGTCCCGGCGGGGTCTCGCTCGGGAAAGATACCGAAGGAGCGTGGGACATTCAAAAGAACGGGCACAAACTCCGGGAAGGGCGTCGCGACGCTTCCGGGGTGGCGGCGCGGGCGACTGACCCGAGATGGTCGTGGTTGAGCTCGAGCCTGGTGACGGTCATGCGGAGCTCCTTGAAGTCGTGCCTGGAGATGTCGCCGAGGCGGGAGTGGGAGATGCGCAGGGTGATCTGCTGGTCGGCGGTGAACTTGCCGCGCAGCGCCTGGGCGAGCTGGTCGAAGGAGTCCATGCGCTCGCAGACGACCTCGATACGCTCTCCGTTGGGGAGCGTCGCGGCGGCGGCGGCAGCGGCAGCGGCGGCGGCGGCGGCGGCTGCACCGGGGGCCGCGACGCCGGCGACGGGGACGACGCCGGCGGTGCCGACGGTGCCGGCGAGCACGGGGGTGGAGAACTCCTCCTGGCGGCAGGTGCAGGGACTGATCTCCCGCCTGACCGCGCAGTGCAGGCTGGAGCTAGCGGCCAGGCCCAGGAGCGTGTAGAGGAGGCCCGACATCGCGGCCTCTCCCTCGTCCCTCTCTTTCCGGTCCGGTCTCGCGCGCGCGGTCTCGCCGGGCTCGTCCTCCGGCGCGGACGCTAATCACGCACCGAGTGCGCGCGATAGCCGCGAGCGCGCGAGCGCGCGAGAGCGCGCCCCCGCGCACCCTCCTTGGCGCACCCTCGCCTGCCTCTCCGCGGAGGAGCGAGTCGGAGGCGCGCTCGATCAATCGGGCGGCGCCGCCGGAAGCCCGGCCCCTGATTGGTCGGCTGCGGCCACCCCGGGGCGCGCGCGCCACCCGATTGGCCCGGCAGGCCCTGATCGCCGGCCCGCTTTCCCCTGGACCCGAGTCGAGGGCGACCCGCACTCGCGCTCGCCGCCGATGCCGACTCCCGGACGGCAGCTCCCCGAGAGCTCGCCGAGTGCCGATTGCCCGATGCGTATCGCGACGCGGTCGCTCTCCCTGCTCCCGGGACGCGGACGCCCGATGTATACGCGCTCCGGTATGTTGGCGCCACGGACGCGGCTACGACATTAACCAGCCCGGCCGCCTGCGAGACTTACTTATACATCGCTGCCACCGCGGCGTGTCCTCAGGAATTATTACGACCGCTTACCGCGAGCGTACGGACGCGACGCGGCGCGACGCCGGCCCCGCTTCCCTCGCTCCGACCCGCGCCCCCACTCTGCCCGCCCGACCCGCGAGCCGACCGCGCGGCGACCGCGCGCCGACCGCCGCGGCGCCTGGAGAACACCCCGGAACGGTCCCCCTTCCCCTCCAAACCCCGCCTTGTGACTACTCGATCTTCTCGGTTTTTCGAAACCGTTCCGCCGGCCGCGATCGTTTCCCTCTGCGGTTCGACGCGAGAATTTTCGAAAACCGCCCGGCCGGGAATTTTGCTCCCCTCGGGGTCGTCCCCAACCCACGTGGCGTCTCTCTGGCGTGCGCCAGATTCCCGTCGGATGGATTTGCACAAGTGATTGTTTGCGGTCGTTTGCACAGGTGATCGTTCATTTTGTTCGGCGAGTCGGACTGGAATTTGTAAATAATGCTGCCACGAGCGGGCCTCATGCACCTCGACGCGTGCGGCATTGGGAGAGAGCGAAAATTCGGGTTTTGTCCGGAATCGACGTCACAGGGATATCGCGTGTTCTTCGAGCAGAGGTTTACGATCCGTGCGCCGTATCGATCGCGCGATCCCCCGTGTCAAATATTTGACACTCGTGGAGATCAAAGGGGGGTCCAGGGAATTTCTCTTAAAATTCCGTGGAGATTCGACGAGGACACTCTTCCGGGGGCGGGCAACGCTCCGGCGAGCTACCGAAGTGGCCGCTGCACATGGAAATCATGTTTGCACCGATAACCGGGGCGTTGCTCAACTCCTGACCTTTACTTCGACACATCGAAACCGAGAGCGGCAGATAATTGACATTTAAGCGACACCGGTCGGTGACAAAGTCACAAGGCATTTGCCCCTCCTCCGGGGACCGATTCGCAAGGTAAACTCGGGACGACGCAAACCGTCCATGGACTATCTCTAGGTCCTAAGACTAGACCGACTTTGACAATCGACGCGAGATAAAGGCCTCTTGCCATGACTTAGTCCCGCGAGTACAATCATAAACGGAGAACAATAACTAACCGAGTACGAGATAAGTAAGGACGTGCTCGCCCTCTTGTGCCGAAATAGCCGAGTAAGGCGAGCGTGTGCTTATGGCTCCTTAATCTCCACAGACTTAGGACCTAACGGACGTGACAGAGTCCGTGGAAACAACCGACTTGGATAATTCCACGCTCTAGGGTGCGACGTGTCGATTACTCAACCGAGGTCCACCGCGTACATAAGGTCGCGCCGAAAGGCCCCGCGACTTTTCGTGGCCACGCGCGACTTCCTGTTTTCATTTCGCCTCCACTCCATCGACCTTGACTCGAAGTCGCGAATTACGCACTCCCTTGTCGCCCGCGGCATATTTCCCAGGTTTCCACGTGGGGATCCACCATGGAGATGGTCTCAGAAATTTCGAAGCGCTTCGCATGGGTATTTCGAGCGGCAGGCGGGATCGTTTTGAAGTCCCCCTAAAATTTCAATGTTGAATTATTTCCTAGTATAGAGTGGACGTTGAAAACGCGAGTCAAGGTTCTGAGGGAGGAGGAGGGAACCCTGACGGAAGCCGAGACACCCACGCTCGTCGCCGACGAAGGCATTCCTATGGGGAACGTAGCGCCGCTGCGGAATGCGATCCTTGTCCCACATCGGTGTGACTGCGCCCACGGTGCGTCGCCGTCTGCGGGCTGGGAAGACGGATGGAGCTTTTTATCAACCGCCGGCGACACCCTCGCACCCTTGGTCCGCCGAGGAGAGAAATCGTCCCGAAGTATTCCGGCGTCTCCAATCCTCGAGAGACCTCAGCCAGGACCTGAAAACGAGACGTGATGAATATAAAGAAGGATGAAGGCGGTACGAGAAAGTGCGGAAAACGCCGCGGGCGGCAGGGGGACGCTTAACGAGCCGGGATGAATTTTTCCAGGGTCCCCGGATAAATTCCCGGCTCGAGCCCGAGGACGCGCTAAGAACGGTCGTCCCGTCGAGCGAATTCGGGATCCGTGACCGCTCTTAATATCGAAAGGGGCCGAGTGCCGGGTCGGGGGCAACTACTCGTGTCGGTTAACGAATGCGAGAATGCGGCCTGGCGCCAACGCACACCACCGCCTCGCGCCGGAGCGTCTCGCGAGCCCAGCGAGTGCGAAAGAGGAGGAGCGATGCGGGCTCGCGAGTGCGCGACGGAGAGGCAGAGACACTGCGGGCCCTGGGAGTGCGAGGTGGACGGAGCTATCGCGCGACATGCGGGCGCGACAAGGACGAACCTATGCGCGCGGGCTGCGGGTGCGGTGGAGACCGAGCGATGCGGGCCGGGCGGGAGGGAGAGAGAGCGCGCTACCTCCCGCGGGCCGCGGTAGCGGCTCGACGACCGGGCGCCGGGTGAGCGGTAGCGCCAGAAAGGAAAGAAATAAACTATCCCCGAGTGTGGATTTCATCCGCTCGCTGTCCGTCTCTAGCTCCGGGAGCTTCGCTCCTCGGATCGCTCCTCGGCCCCGAGGTCCGGCGACGCCGTCGCCTTCGACGCCGCCGCCCCGATAAAACCCGGGCGCCGCGGATAGGGACCAGCTCTAGCGGGGATCGGACAAAAACAAGACTCGCATGACCCGACTAAGTTAAGTACTAACAGACAAGACTGCAAGACAAGCTAAATCGAGACAGCTACATCATTACGAGAGGCTGCGCGTCGGCTCGCAGGCCGCAACCCCCGCCAGGCTCCGCCGCGCCCCCTGCGGCTCCCACACGCCCAGGGCACACCGTAACCCTTGCTCCTTTATTTAAGCCACCGGTCGCATCGGCAGCGGTCCTCATCTGACGGAAGACACCTACGAATTAATAATTCCTCGATTTATACTTCCATCTTTTCGATAAAAAATCCTGTTAATTATTTAATCTCGTAAGATCTTGTTGCGCCCGGATTTTTCGCGACGCCGGGTGAGAATGTTCATCGTGCTCCTGCGTAAATCTTCGCATCGCTCGCGCGTTAATTATTCGACACATTCGCGGGCACTTTTGGAACGCTCACGCGAGAATTTTCGAGAAGTAATTCTGAGCGAAAATTTCAGACGATCCCTGATTGGATTTTAATACCTTAAAGCGCTTCTTAAGGGGCTTTACGCGGACGCCTTTTACTTTAGTCGGTCTTCTTGCTCCACTTTAGCCGGTGTAACGAGATCGAGAGGGGATTATCCGGCGTCGCACCCCATTGATCGTTCTTTAGGCGCTCGCAAAATTCCCGGAGACGAGAGATATCGAGAGATCGAGAGGGAATTTCTCGATCGAGGCTGAACTTGGAAAGTTTCGCCGAGGCGAGAAGGAACGGCGTGCCGGGGATCCGGCTGCGAACGCCTTCGCGTTCCCCAGAAACAATGAATATCTTTATGCCGGACCTGATAAGCGAACTATTAAGTCCGCTCGGAGGTTGCGCCGTGGTCCATAAGTGGAATAAGCCGATAGCGTTTCAGAGGCACCCGGGTGGGATTCCTGGAGGGCCGCGGGGAGGAAATCCGAGAGAAATTTTTTTGCCTGCAAAAAACCGTACCAAGTTGATTTTTCGCGAAGTTCCAGTTATCGTACATTATTTTAATACACGCGTATTTAATTTTGTTACCAACCCCCTCTCTTCCTCCCAAGCGTTCTCCAGTGGCCACCCTCCCATTCCTGTCCGTGTCCAATGTTGCTTAACTTTATGAAGCTTCCTCCCCGAATCTGCCTGCAAATTCACGAAATCTGACCTCTCTGGACATTTCAATGTCTTTTATATTTTTTCCCCCTCGACCTTAAGGGACTCGGGTATCGGAGGAGATGCTTTTCTGGGAGAAATCGCGATAACGTTGAATAGTTATCGGCGGTCGAGCGACTCCTGGGCCATCCAAAGAGTAAAGTGCAGCGCGAGGAGAGCAAGGTTAAACGGCGGCCCATTGGCCGATTGAGAGACACTGTCCGTGTGTGTTTACGATGGGATTTAAAGGAACATCCTCTCTCTCCTCGTTCAATGTATCTTCTTTTGGTTTTTCGCTCTTGTCGGTCTTATTTGAGGGGTTTTTTTTCCGCCGAGGCGCCGGGCGCCGTCCCGCTACGGGAGACGCGCCGCGCCGCCACTTCCTGCATACAAAACCGAAGCTCTCCATTAACATTCTTCGCCGGTGCACGATCGCGGGGCGTTATCGTTAACGATCCCCTCTTATCCGTGGTTTTGCCTAGCCAGGTGTGTAATCTCATTGCTTTAATTGGCTCGACAGGTCCCGAGGGATTTTTCACGCCGCGGGTCCCAATCGCCGGTCGCATGCGCGTCCTTATCGAATTAATTCCTCTTGAGAAATATTCTATGCCAGGCTCGAAAGGGGGCACGATATTTCGGAAAGCGCAGCGGCGATTGTTGCTACAGGGCCGTGTTGTTGGAACGCGCTAATGGCTCCATTTAAACATCTGACTTGACAAGAGATAGAGTACCCAGAACAGAGAGGAGTGTGCAGTGCGCACGTGTGCTGTTTTATCAGCTGGGCTGTCGAGGCATGCCGTATTTTTCAATAAATCTGCACATTTGTTAATGGTTAGATCAATAAATTAATTGACCCAATTACGCCTTATCGGGGGTATTTACTCTTAATAATGTCGTATATGGCACCTTAAGGCTCCGATTTACGATTCGGACGAGCAATCCTTACCGCGAGGTATTCATTAATCGCCTCGTAAACGATATCCACAGATCCAGGACGAGAGACGTAAAATATTGTCCTTCACGGGTGTGCAATCGCAACCGGCACTGGAATTTCAGCGTCTCGCCCTTATCTTATGCGTTTTCGTAGTAGCCGATGTTATAATCTGAATGCGATCGTTCTCGAGAGCGAGTCCTTTTATTGGGCCCGAGCAAGGAATGTCCGATGAAACGTGATTCGAATTCCCTTTCTCGTTTCAGGCATGGACGGTGGCGGGACTCGCAGGGCGAGATTTTACGATCGTCCCAATAATCTCTTCGCGCCTCTTCTCTTCGGCCGGTTATCTCGGGCCTTTTTAAAATACGTGCCGTACCTTCTTCGTCATTATTTCGCGCCTAAATGTGGAATCGCAAATTAAACCTCGTTACTTCATTAAAGGGTCGGGAATTCGTAATCAAGATGGCGGGTGAATTCAAATAAAATCTGACTAGCGGAAAGAGTAATTTTGAGGGTACCTCAGAAAATGCTGTAAAATAATCCCTCCGCGAGGAAACAGAATGATAGTTCCATATTCTCTGACAGAGTTTTAAAGGTGGCGCAATGTCTCGGACGAGAATCGCCATTGATTTTATCCGTCCTGCGTCAAGGCGAATACAATTTGCAGTCACTGCGAAAATTCATAGAGGGCAGCAGTGAACGTTCATCAGATAACGCGTGACGTCACGCGCAGCCAACATGGCGGCCGTTCGCAACGCCCTCGCGGTTATCGAGCCAAACTTCGGAACCAGATCTGATGTTCCTCTATAAAATTACGCGAATGACGTAAGAATAGCGTTTTGCCTGGAGCGCCATCATTCCTTAAAAAACGTACGAAACTGTAGAGCATGTTCAGGTCACGTTTCTAATAAAAAGGCCAGCGATTTACATTTATATACTTGTATGTACTACGATCGATCGACTTCCGCCAAATCACGTGCTTAAACTATGCTCAAGCACTGCGTAAATCAGAAATTACTAGAAAGGAAATTGACGTCATGATACTGATAGTTCCTGATAGTTTCTCAGTGATGTGTCATCACTAAAAAAGGGGACATCTTTGTTTTTGATAGAAAACTTACCGCTGCTAAACGAGACGTGAAAAATACGTCGATTAACTATTCTGAGCTTAATTGAGCTTGGTTTTGAAGCACGGAAAGGTTAGGGAATTGTGAATTACGAATCCAGGAAAAAAAATTTTAAATGTTCGAACGGTAATGCAAGTTGTATGAATTTCATCCGTTTATAAGGTGGTAGCACTGCCGAGGCCGGCGGCCATCTTGGAAAATGTCTCGTCAATGATGAAAGCGGATAAGACGGAAGTGAATTCTGGGTACTGCCGTACGTCGAATTGGCTCTGTTGCGTAGGAGAGGTTTGATTAAAATTGTTCGAGAACCGGGCGGTTTGATATCGGTGTTGGTTCGATTTCTCGTTTGGCGAACCAGGAGTGGTGACTCAATTTTCTGTGCGTCGTCGTATCGGCTGAATCTCCTGCATCGATTTCTCTAACTAGAGTACTGAGGTAAAGCACCTGCTCGTCATTATTTAGTTGCGAAATTTGTTCCTTGCGGACTGAAGTGCGTATACGTGGAGTGCTTTGAATAATTTTCAGCAATCTCGATCAAACGAGTTCTCGCGAGGTGAAGATGATCGATCTAACGGTGAAGACCTTAGACTCACAGGATCATACCTTTTCCCTGGAAGACGATGTAAGTTGGCTTGCCAATACGTCCCAAGTGTCAACTAGATTATTAGTCCACATCTATATACGATGTATCTACATCGTTGAGAATTTATTTGTTGGGTTTTATGCAGATAACAGTTCGTGGCTTCAAAGAACATATAGCTGAATCTGTCTCGGTACCAGCGGACTTGCAAAGACTTATTTATTGTGGTAGAGTGCTTCAGGATGAAAAGAAGCTTAATGATTATGGTACGATGGAACGTTCTAATGGAATGATATTATGTTAGTGAATTGGAGCATTATCACGTATTACAGATTGTTCCATAAATTTTAGATGTAAACGGGAAAGTTATTCACCTGGTTCAGAGAGCACCACCTCCTCCAGGCCAAAGAGGAAACAGCGGAGGTCAGGGTCAAGGCCAAAATCAAGATCAGAGTTGGCAATCATCCCAGCGGAGACAGTTTACAGAGAGCCATGGACAAGTTCATGGAAATGCCATGTATTTGGGAGCTATGTCTGTTCCAACGGAAGTTGTTGAGGGACAAGGTTAGTTAAAATTTATTTAACTATTTTTTTAAAGTGAAGGGATGTATAAATTTGATGTAACAAAATTATATTTGTTTAATTATATGTTATTTTTGTTTGGGTAGGATTACCAGTACCACCACTCAGCAATACTTTATCAAATGGTCGTTTGATTGTGGCAAAGCGCATGCTTAATCGGTCAATAGAATGTATTTATAATCACAGACATCCTCGCGGTGCAACAAGTTCCACCGAACCTTATGAAGTACCTTTATCCCTAGAAGTAAATATTCAAGAGGAATCGGAACCAGTTTTGGATAAGTACGTTGAGTGTGATTCAAAATTCATTTTGATCATATAAAAATATATCTTACTGAAAAATACTTTCAGTACCAATGAAATTGGAAGAGAAGCAGCCAGTAGACCTAGTTTTGAGCAAGTGGTTACTGCATCGATAGCAGCTGCTCTTGGGCTCAGTAATGTGTCCTTCATGAGAGGTTGTTCATACCTTAAATTAAAAATTTTCACTTATCTTTACATAATAAAATTTGCAACATATATCTCTGTAGGTGGTACCGAAGAAGGTAACCAGTCGAGCACTTCAACTGCTTCAGCTGATAACACAGCAACTGAGACACAACAGCAATCGGATCAACAAGAGCAACCAACGGCAGCACCCAGTAGCGAATCGCAATCCACCAGAACAGATGCTCCAGTGTAAGATCAGACATATTTTATTTAAATTGAGATAAATAAGAGAAAAATGCATTATATGTAATTTTGTTTTTTAGTCAGCATACTCGGGCAATGGCTAGGTTAGTGGACAGATTAATTGACGCGCAAAACCGCCTAAGACCATACCTACATAAATATCGGCATATGATGGCTTCGGACCCTGAATTAACCCCTGGAGCGGTAGGAAGAACTTACATGGTCTGAATATTTAACTTGAAGTATTACGTACAGATTTGGGTTATTATTATTTAACAGTCTGAACAAGCAGAAGAAAATCAAAGGATAGTCAATTGTGTTAGTGAAAGTTTGCACTACCTGGCGCATGGATGTCATGCTCTAAGTGACATAATCGTCGACATGAGGCAACCGCCCCCAAGAAATTTGCGCTGTAGACCAATCCTTATCCAACATTCTGCTGTATTGCAAGCTGGCATACCGATACAAGTTGAAGTAAGTTTCTATTTTTTTTCTTTTTGACAAATTAAATTCCCTTTTTATGTATTGCTACTAGGAACTTCTTTCCAACAGGCTCACATAAGTTTACAAGGGCGCAATTCCAACAATAATACTGGTTCGGATGAAGCAAGTCGAAGAACAAATGATCAAGCGACAGCAGGTAGGAATGAGTCTACAGAATCGACTACTACCGAAGGAAGAGGAAGGGCTCAACAGGATGCAACATCACAAAATCCACAAAATGAAGAAAATCAGCGACCGGAGCAGGAACAATCAGCACGACAACAGACACGACCACCTTTTAGTAAGTTTCAGTTCTTAATTATTTACATGAAAGATATATTAAAAATACCACTTGCATTTAAATGAGATTATCATCCACCAGGTACGGTTTTCAATTTACCAAGTTACCAATTACAAAATAACGTAGAGGTATTGATGGAAGTCAGTCCAGAAATGAGCAGCATGGAATCGACTGCTCAGGGTGAACAAACTCAAGGCACTGGGAACAACAACAACAATAACGCAGGTATTTAACCTTGAATTAAAAAGTATTGCAATATGAAAAATTATCTATCGAATGACTGAAATTATACCTCTCTGATTACTGAATGTTCTTTATTAGGAGGCATCGGTGGTGCTAGTGGTATATTTCCAAGAGGGTCAGCCCCTCCGGCAGACTTCATTCGAAATCTAAATCACGCTATAGAAGTTGCCGCAAGGGCTCTAATGAGTGAAAATTCCACATCAGGGATCGGAACCCAACAGACCACTCTAGTGACCATCGATGGTGCGGGCCTGAACCCAGGACAGAGTACACAAGCTAGGTAATTATTGCAACCTTTTTACTGTACAACGGACAGAAAATGGAAACTATGTAGGAAACATTCTTGGGGATAGGAGCAACGTGGATACACATCCTACAACAGCTACGCAGACTCGCAGCTCGTCTCGTCCACACGTTTTCGAACCGCACTCACATCTCGGAATCGGTGTTGTGATGGGACAAGGCATAGAATTCGATCCACTACTGCCGTGTAATTCGCATCACATTCGTCGAACGCCAGCGACAACCTCGAGCACAATTGGAACAACACAGTCGCAGAGTCAGCCTAATCAGACCGCTCCACCGCGTGCCCACGGCTGGAGTGCACTAGGTAACTAAACGTGTGAACCCACAGTTTCCATTCGGACATCCAAAAGTATAACCTGCATACCTCTGATTCACAGAAGTTTTGCCCTCGATCTCATCGACCTCATCGTCCTCGTTAAATTCTAGTACTCCAACGAGTACGGCGAGCTCTTCGCCTTCGAAGTCACAAACGAAACCTCCTCCCCCGGTAAGATCAGCCGTTTCAACGGTCGCGACAATCGATTGCGATTAATCCTTAGTTAACCCTGAAGCTCCTCGTTACAGCCGCCAGAGGTGAAAATGTGGACCGAGGCGGAGCCCGTGGAGGAAGGCGAAGAGACCCCACCGAGTACTTTCCTTGGACACGATGTAGTGCCATCCGTGAGTACAGTTTCTGTAATACGATCGAATGACTACGGTCGAAATGGAAGTCCCGACATGTGTGTAATGAGGATTTCTCAATTTGTCAGGACTGGATGCCGGTGATCGCTCGCGATGGTGTCCGGCAAAGGCGTCAGCTGGAGAACATGGGGAACAATGACGCGACTGCCTTCAACGACGCGTACCTCAGCGGACTGCCGAACAAGAAACGTAAGCTCATCCTTGACACGACAACTGAATTTTATTAAGCCGACAGGGTGTATTCTCGCGAGTTACTTAGATATTCCTGATTCGTAGCGAGTCCCTCCGCGACATCCTCCACCCCGGAGGAAGAGGCTTCTACGGCATGCGACGCCACCTCGGCTAAGAAGACTTCCTCGGAGGACGCAGCGACTCCCGATCCCACCTCGTCGCAGTCGCAGCCGAAGGTAACTTCCACCCCCTTAGGATCTCTGTCGTTGATTAAAAATCTACTTCCTCCTCGACAGCCAATGGAGACCGACGCCGTCGAGACGAAGCTCACGTGCGAGACGGAGCCGATGGAGAACGGTGAGGAAATCCCGACGACATTCCCGGGACACGAGAATTTGCCCTCCGTAAGTACCGCTATCTATTTATTTATCTATTAGTTCATTTATCTATCTTTTTCTCTTCGTCTGATATTTTTATGAACACTGGCGGGTCTTTTAATTTTAATAAACCACCGCTTCCAGGACTGGGTGCCTATTATTGCTCGCGACAGCGTGAAACAGAGGCGCCACCTACAGTGCGTGGGGTGCGAAGATGCCGCACCACCTTTCAGCGACGCGTATCTCGGCTGCATGCCCAGCAAGCGGCGCAAATTAATCGAGCAGCAGAAGCCTCGTCTGCTGATGAGCCCGACGCCGAGTCACTCGCTTTCGGCGATCTCGGCGTCCATGGAGCGACTCGTCAGGGAAGGCACGAACCGCGCGGGAGTGCACGAGGTTGAAGGGGCAGCAGTCGCAGTGGCTACGACGCCCGCCGTCAGACGAGCTTTCGGACGGGCCATCAGAGATTGTCTGCATCCACGGACATACCGCACGCCAGACTTCCCGGATCCGCGGCGGTTTCCAAACGCGACGAAGTACTTTGCCGATCAAGAGCGTCGCGGCGACTAGGCCGAATTTCCGGCGACGCTGTTTATGTAATCGGAGCACTGGGCACGACTTATTATCGACCCCTCCTTCCCTCCTCCCTATAACATACGAATATTCTGGAAATGTTATTACACTACCGCATTTAATATCTCTGTGTAATCGCTGGTATATTACTACTTCGCACACAATATAATGTTCCAAAATACTAAATCTTATCTACCCGTTAAAGTGACGAAAATGGAGCGAAAGGAGAAAGGGTAGGAAATATGATACGTGTAATTATTGATAATTGGTTTATAGCAATTGATATAGGAAATTGTTCCATGTGTCCTCTACCGGCGGGAAAGGGAAGCGCCATGCCAGAACTCGAGATCTACATTATCGGCGTTGGGTTTCCATTTTAAGTAAAGTGCCGTGGTGACTGGTTCACGGGTTGGTTTGAAGAGGGCGCCAGCTACGCATTTATTCGAAATCGACGTGCGATTTTTCGTACGCAAAGGGTTTAGTATGGAAAGTATTTCGAACGGTTTCGCGTCCGGAAAGTCCCTGAAACAGGTGTGCCGGATTTTCTGAACGCCATTGAATAAGAGCTGTCCCTCCGCGACTCACTTCTCGGTACATTTAACGGCCGCGAGCCACGTCGAGGCACTTTCGAAAAGCTCTCGAAACGTAAACAGTCGTCCCTCGTCCAAATATTTACGACTCGCCGGCATAACCTCGGGGCGCTCGTTAAAAGCCCACGAAAGAAGGCGAGAAACAAAGAGCCTCGGGAACGCAATCGTTTCGGTCTCGAACGCTCTTCCACAGGCCGTGGACGGAACTCTGAGAGCGCCGATATACGAACACCCGCCGCCGGCTTAGAAACTTCCCAGACCCGTAATAAAGCCCGCGAGGTGCACGACACGCGAGGAATCTGACGCCTACATGCTCGTAAGTAGCGCGAAAAAAAAAAAGAAAGAAAATAACGTACACTCAGTCCGTCGAGACTTTTGGTAACCGCCATTTTCCTTTCCTTCCGAACATGCCCCGGAGGACCCAACGATCCGCAGACGAGGGACGAGGCGACGCGCATACGTGAAGCTGGACCGAGGTAATAAATAAATATAGAAGGAACAATGTCGGGCTTTGTATCGCGTATCTCGGGAGGGGGGCGTTCTTCCGCGTAGTCCCCGAGTGTCCGATTTTCCGTCGGCCGATCGGTTAACGACCGGCGGCCATCTTGAATCCCCGTAATCGGAGTCTAGCGGCGAGCGCGCATGCGCGAAGGGATTTCCCGTCGCGAGTCCGCCTCGACTGGCGATTCTTCTTTACGGGAATTACTCGCAAAATGTCCGGGAATCGATTTCAATTAATTCGGTCTCCTCCAGGTCTCTCGACGGGCTCTTATCTAGAAGGAGGCGAGCTCGGCATTTTTATATCCACCGGGAATCCGCGGAAAGGCGACTCGGCGGCCGGAAGGGCGCGGCGGGTCGGTCGTGTAAATTGACTTTAAAGCGTCGGTTCTCGCGTTAACGGGAAAAATTATCGGGCGCGCCTCGCGCGCCATTTGAATATACACGTGGGCGCCCGGTGGCTTTTTACGCCGGGCCTTATGCTAACATCCCGAATTTGCAATTCATCGAGCCGAGCCAAACTGAAAAACTGGCCGCGTAGCGCGGAAAATCGCCAAGATCCGAGATTCGAGCCCCGGGCGATCTCCCTCCACCCCCTTGAATTCTCTTAACGATCTTTCGCCCGAGAGGGAAAGAGAGAGGGAAAAAGGAAGAAAAATTAAATCTCCACCGTGATGCGACGCGGGAGCCGAAACGTCATTATCTCCCTCGCGGCACTTCGAGATTACAATTTTTCCGCGAGGAACTCGCGTGGAGATAATCATAATTCTCCCCTTTTGAACGCGTTAAGGTCGATTTACACCATCCGGCCAGACCCGCCGCGGAAACGCCGCGTCAACGGTCCGATAAAGACGGAAGATATGTTTATACCATTGGTTTAGGTGAAACACCGAATCCAACGCTCGACATTAGCGGCGTTAAAAAACATTCTCATCGTCAATGCCGGATGGTGCAACTGTGACACGCAACGTTTAATATGAATATTCCTATTAGAAACGCGCGTTATGTTAAGAAATTCTTTGCACTGCCGGAAACGCTGCCATTACGCGCCGTGTCCGACCTTTAGGGTCGATTTACCCTGGCGGACGAAACGTTAATGCGTTTCACGCGAATCGACTCCAGACCGCATGTACCGGTCGTTGTCGACACGTGTCGGAACCGATACGTGCCGGACCGTGCCGGATCGTGTGAGCGGACCTTAATCCCGGCGCCCTGAAATATCTAGGATTCCGGCGGGTTTCCGCGTGGCGGAATGAATTTTTTCCTATCGGGAAAAACCCGAATGGCCGCGATCGCTCTCATTGGTCGGCGCACCAATGCCCGCAAAGTCGCTCTTTAATATCCGATTGGGTCTTTTTATTTCTCCCGTCTCTCCGACTCTCTTTCTCCTTCGCTCGCCGCCTATTTCCGTCCTCCTCGCTCCGGCGAATTAAGGGACAATGAGATTATACACCGAGCGCCCTTGCGCGAGACTGCATTTACGCCGGGAAAATATTCCCGACTAATTCGATCGGATTTTTTTCCGAGATTTCTTCCTTTTTTTTTTTTATCCTCTACTATAGGGAAGGAATCGATCGATCGATGGCTCGATGGCTACCGAGAAGCGACGCTTTCCCTCCGGGCGAGGGGAAATTCTTGCGCGCGTAAATCCGGGCGCCGCCATCTTGTTTTCCCGTTCTCGCCCTTCTGGAGCGTAACAGGGCCTCGGTTTCGCCGATAACGATAAAACAAGCGAGCGTTAAACGACAGCGAGATATCGACCGGCCCGGGGAACGATCGAATGATTAATTCGAACAACCGAATCCCTTTGCTAGGCATTCGGTTAGCGGGCCATTCGATTAAATCCCGCAGTTCTTTCCGGGCGACGCGGGGAACGTATATAACCGAAATTGCTCTCAATTATACATATGAAATTCTGCGCCGCCCCCCTCCGAAGCAAACACGCCGGGTAAAACAGTCGGGACCGCAATTTTCGTTCTCCCTCGGCGAGGAAAAATCCGCCCGGACGAAATAACCGTAAACGCATTGGCCGCGTTATTGTCCGGAACTGTGTTTTACAGTCGACGCGGAGGCCCGCTCGAATGACGGTCCCGTTGGTCCGCGTTTTCCCCCGTTTTTGTCCGCTTTCCGTTTCGAAATCATTAAAACGAAAAGGAGAAATCAACTGAAAGGGAGCGAAGGAAGGACGAGGATTCGATTGGGCGTTAACGATAGGTGATTACGGGCTCGACCGACGCGACCCTTATTTCCGCGGCGATCGCGTTTCTCTCAATCTTTTCAGTCACGCGTACCATTTTGACCGTCTGTACCATTTATTAGACTGTACTTCGATCTTGCTCCCGGATAATGAATGCTCGTCGTAAAGAATTCCCTCCGGCGTCGGATCACTCGAAACACTCGGGCCGGAAATCCGGCGAAAAACGCGGAATCGCGAGGTGTTCACTTCCGGGGAATCGTCCCGTCCGAGGCGAGGAACAGTCGTTGGAGGGGCAGGAGGGGGGACTGGCAACGTTTTGCCGGTCCTTAGAGGCGGCGCGTGTTTATTTAGACGGCGGTGCCCGGGTTTGGTTTACCGGGTATTCCGGGCGGCCGAGGAGCCCAGGCAGAAGGGCCTGGCAACCTAAACACCTAGTCGCATTATGTTGGACCCTCGTTTAAAAGGAGCGAGGGCTCGGAATTTCGGGTAACTCCGGGGAGGGCCGCGGAACGGCGCTCGCGTCGCCAGGCTCGAGTCCCCGGCGAGCGAAGCGTGGCTATCTCTTTGGGTATTAATTGGCTGGACGTCGATGCCTACTACCGGGCGCCCCCGGATGCCCCCTCCCCCCAGGTCCGAAGTCCGGGGTCGGAAACATTCGTGCATCTTTTTGCCGCGACCCCTGGGTCGCTCCGTCACTCCCCTCCCCCTCTCTGGGACTCTTTCTCCTTCCTCCACCGCGGCGCCCCTTGGAGGGGTTGCGGCTCCGGCCGGGCGAAGGGTCGGCCCGAGGGGCAGAGGTATACCCGAGGTATATCCGTATATAAAGCATAATAAAGGTCCGGGAATCGGTCCGCGCGGACTCGACGAGCGCCCGTCCCTCGGCGTCGCGCGCTCCCATTGGCTCGCCTGGCCGCGCGGCGGCCCCTGATTGGCCTTTTTCCTCGGTGCCGCGCCGCGTTCTTTCGCTCGGGCGTAGCTCGGATTTTTCCGCTCTCCGATTGGTCGGCGCGCCGCCTCGAGCCCTCCTATTGGCTGGCGGCCGGCGCGGTCCGCGCGGACTCGGGCCGAGACGTTAAGATGCCTCGGCGATCGAGTAGAACCTTCGGGCAAGTAGGGGTGGTTATGGGTGGTTACCGTCGGGGTGGCGCGGCGACGGGACGGGCCAGGGAAGGCGGCCATATTTAGAGAAGGAAATCAGTGAAGAGCATTTCACATTTCGCGTTTCGCGCCGCCTTCCCCTCCGCGGACCGAGCTACGAACTGATTATAGGGAATCTCGTACCTGTCTCACCCTGCCTCCTTCTCTTTCGCTCCCCCTCGGGTCCCCCTTGCTCCGATTCTTTTCCTTTCTCTTTCTTTGTGGGTGCTCCTCGGTTTCCCGGCCCGCGTTTCCTCCTCCTCTCTTTCTCTCTCTTTCGCCGCCGCTTTCTCGCCGCTGTCCGTGCCTCCGTCTTCCTTCCCCTATTTTCGGCGAGCGGGGTAGACCGTCCCCCCGTACAGTGGGCCGCTTTAATCCCTCGATCCGCGAGGTGACCGGGGATCGGATGGTTCCTCGAAAATTCGGAAATTGCGGAATTTCGTAATTCTTGCCACCGGTCTTGGGTTTCTACCCGGCGTTGCGTTCCGGGAGGGGCGACGGGGAGGGCGATAAACCGCGGCCGCGATTAATCGAGACGGACGAGATCGACGGTTATGCGCGCGACCCCGAGCGGGCAAACACGCCGTTGGGAGAGAGTCATCAAGGTGCGCCTGCATAATTGCACGGTAAAACTGGCGGGGACAATTCGGCAATATTTAGTCATTCAATATCGAGTTGTTTACGCGGCCGGGCGCGCGCGGCTCGGACGCCTCCGCGTCTCCGGAGCGGAATCATCCCCCCGACGCGCACCGCGCGCTCTCTTATCGGCTCGCCGCCGCCCCGGGGGCGGTATCGCGATCGCGATAAATTCCCCGCCGGTTTCCGGACCGCGGCTCTCGGCGCTCCCCGCGACCGAGTGCCGTCCCGCGAGGCTTCCTCCGGTCCCTGCCTTATCGGCCGATAACCGTAATTATCGACACGCTCGATCTCCGCTTCCCGAGAGAGGACGAGGCCCCCCCTCCCTCTCCTTTCCCGGCACTCGCGATGTCTCAACCGCGCGCCGCGAACCGGCAACCCTGTCGAGCGCCGCCACTGGCCGATAATGAAGACCCGCATTACCGCGGCCGCCGCGTTTGGACTTTCGCGGTTTCGAATGGTTCCTTGCTTCCGACGCGTTGACGCATCGTGATCTGTGCGACGCTGGGCCGCGCGTCACGTCGTGACTCGCGCGCCCCTAGGTGGCACGCGAGGGCGGCGGTGCCCGCATTCGGCGCGGGGCTGCGCTCCCGAGCGGTCGCGCCCGCCTGCGCGGGCATCTCCCGCTCGCGCGGACCGCAGGTGGGTGGCCACTCGCGCGCAGGTGTGCTCCCGCCCGGCCGCCATGTTGGGGGAACCTCTTCGGGCTTTTTTTGCCCGCACGGCGGGGCGCGCTCCGGGCTCGAGGGCTTTTTCCGCATCGCCGTCTCCGCGAGACATAATGTCGTTTCTCCTCTCGCCGCGACAAAAACCCCGCTCGCCCCTATCGCGCCATTTCACCCCGATGTCCCGTTCGCCGGCGCACCTCCTTCCCCCGGACGTCTCTCCTCGACCATCCATCCGGGATTCCGCGGACGAGGAACTTTTCGAATCTGTCGCCAAAGTCGACCGCAAGATACGACCCGGAAAAAGGAAGTTCCGGGTCCGGCGAGCACTCCTGCATATAGATCCGCCGACTCGATCCTCCTCCTCCTCCTCCCGCTCGGGACGGTCCATTGTCGGGGAACGAGAAATACGGAAAAATCGTTTCTCGGTTTCTCACATCCCGCCCAGTCGCGAGGTACTTTCGGGAGATACGTCTTACTCTTTTTTGGGTATTAACGGAGAATCGAAATTCCGCGACGCGGAACTTCAATTGGGAGTCCTATCAATGGCCCGATCGATTGACGGGGATCGACGTCGTGATCGATGATAGGCTTGATTAACCTTGTCTCCGATGAGCAAGGCGAGACGTTCTCGAGGCGCGCACGATTTTCTTCCGATTTTTCTCATTCCCTTCTCGTTAATGAATAATCGAGGAAACGACAATCCGCCGCGGTAACGAGCGATCGACCTCGGCGTCGGAAACGGCGCTTCCAAGGTACGACGACTCCTCTTCCGGCATGAACCATGAGAGAGAAAGACTCGCGAGGAGCTGCGCGCGCACCCGCGCGAGCAAGCGATGCGCGCTTCGAATTCCGCACGCGGCCGGTCCGCGCCGATTAACGCGGCGGTGCGTTGGTCGGCCCGCAGAGGGGCGCAAGGATTCCGGGGATTCCGCGACGACACCTTTATCCGGGAATTCCGCGAGGGCTTCGCCGCGGAATCCCGTCGACTTTCTCGCGGCGGATCGGCCGGTTCACGGGATCATAAAGGGGGAGGAGAGGGGAAGGAAAATAGAAAAAGATACTAAAGATATACCCAGGACCCCGGGAGAGCGGATGGCGATAAATAATGTAGAACGATCGGCGCGGCCCGCCGCGAGAAAAATCCCGGCCGCGTTAATCCTTTAACCCGTTTCCGACGTTTCCGCGGATAAATTATACCCGGGCGCGTTCCTAATCCGCGGGTTACGCGCGAGTGGCTCCATTGGCCGGGCGATTAAACGCGCCGGCGCGAATTCACGCGGCGCAGCGACCGCACGGTGAGTGCCCGCGAATGCGGGGTAAACGCCGGGAAATGCCGGTAAATTCGGCCGGAGAGCCGCGTATGTACGAGTGGCCGAGAAAGGGCCACGTGTTCCGGCCACGTGTGGGGCCGCGGAGGCGCCGCGCGGATGGGTGACCGGGCATCGGTCACGGCGCGCGAACGGTCGCGGCGATGCCCCTCGATAATAATAATCAACCGCGGGGAAGGTCCGCGACCTCGCGACGTTGCCGTAGTCGGTCCGGGAGTTGGCGCGGATCGAATCGCGGCCGAGGGCGCTCGAGCGGGCGAAACGCAAGATATTTCCGCAGGGGAGTGCGCGCGAATGGCCGGGACGCCGAAGCTAGGAAGTAACGGAGGGATTTCTTTCTTTTTTTTTCCCTTTCAAACGGGACTTCCGTATCGCCGATAGCGATATATCGGAGCTCGCGAAGTGGAATGGAGGGGGGAATAAGAGGAGGAGACGACGTCGCGACAACGCATCTCGGATCCTCGGCCCAGATCCGCTCGTTCGTCGCGTCAGCGCCGGTTAAATCGCTCCCGCTCCCTTCTGGCGGTCGGTGAATAACGTTAAGATTAAGTGTCACCGCGCCCGAGCGGAGGAAAGGGCAAAGTGATAATAACCGTCCGGAGCGGGACGACCAGGAAAGGTCGCGGAAGGTTGTCACGCGCGGAGCGGGGCCGGAGGGTCCGCGAGAGCGAGCGAGACGGAGTGACCCGCCGCGGAGAGGCGGAAGGGGAAGCGCCGGAGCCGCCACCACGCGGGTCCGGCTTCGATGCGGTGTCGATTTCTACCAATTTCTCCCGGTCGAACTGGCTTATGCCCCCGAAACTCGACTAGTTCCGCTCGTCGCGTTATTCCACTCATCCGAGAATATATAAGGAGAAAATAAGGAGACAGGTATTAATGGATGGGTGGAGGTTCGGCGGCCCGGGGGCCGATGTCGAGGGAGCCGCCACTGGGGCGCTCCGTCTCTCTCGCACCGCCGAGGAGCGGCGAGGGAGCGAGAGGGAGGGCGAGGGACACGTGGTCCGCGCCGCGGGAGGGGATCGGACGGGGTGGGGGCGCGCGCGCCCCTCCAGCTGCGCGAGCGCGCTCGGCGCTCGATCAGTGTACGCCCGACCGTCGTGGGGTACGGATCATTCGGTAGTGGAGTCAGCGCGGGTGCCGACGCCGTTGCGCCACCTCGACCGGGACGCGTCTCGATGGTGTTCTGACGCGCGTGGACGGCCGGTTCGGTGCGCTTCTAGAGGACGGTCCTCTAACGGTCGCGCGTCGACGCGCTCCCCCCGTCGAGCGACGTTGCCCGCGTTAGTGGTGTAGTGGTGCGCCGAGCTATGACCAGGAATAACGGATACCACGACGCCGACTCGTCGCGATAGAGTACCACCGGAGGGAAAGTCCCGCCGAATCCAAGGACCTGCGTCGCCCCGGCGCCCCGAGGTCCTTCCTCGGGCTGACCTCGAGCTCCCTCGTCTCCCAGGCCGGGATGTACCCCAACGCCGTCGCCGTCGCCGCGGCGGCCGTCGCCAGGCACTCGGTAAGTTCCCACCGCTCTACTCCTATGCGCCTCGTTCATCCGCCGGCCGTCGGTCCGACGTACGCGTGAACATCCAGTACGAACACGAGGCCTCTCGGTTTCGACCGCTTAATTGGACGCGGATGCTATTCCGAGCCCGCCAGTTATCTCTCGTTATTTTTCTCCGGGCGATCGCGTCCCAGATTCCCGACTGGATGATTGAACGATAATCGCCGGGCGGGGGCCGGCGGTATAATGATTTTTCTCCCCGCCGTGCTGGTCGGAGGGGGGGGACAGGGACGGGCAATTTTGGAGTAATTAATGCCGAACGATAACCCAGTTAGAATGTCGGTAAATTTAATTATAGCCCTGCCCGGCGCTGATTATAGCGCAGACGATTGCTCGTTTGGCTTGAGGTCGCCGATTAGCGGCGGCCCGAGGGGCCGCGTGCGCGGCGAGCGTTAATAAAAGTACAATCCGACCGTCTGTGCGCGGCTGCTCGCTTGCTCGCTTGCTCGCTCCCCGAGAAAGCCGACGTCGCGCCTGCTGCGCCCGGACCGAGAGAGCGCGGCTCGAAATAGCGACCGCCTCGAGGGTTAAGTCAATTAGTCGGGGCCCGACGGCGGCGCCGTTCGCACCTCGGCCGGACACAGCCGAGCGCGGCCGCGCCCGCACACGTGGCAGCCCCGCCGCGTCGGGCGGCGTTGCCATTTACGAGGAAAGTACCCCCGTGGGTGTAGGTATGATTTTCATGGCTCCACGTGTCGCGGTACATCGAGATGACGTAGGGAAAAAATAAAGAGACACGTAGTCCAATTTTTACAATTCGCGAGATTATCGATTTAACGTTGTCCGGTCGCAAAATCGGAGATAAACCGTTTAAGAGTATACGACCACGTGTCTCTATGTGTACGGTGTTAATGTCGTAACGAGGGGGGCAACGAGATACAAAAGGATGACATCTCCCTGGAACTCTGCCGAGTTTCTTAAAACGCGTCCGTGGTTAAGGGTTAATGTGCAGGGTACTCGAAATCGCGGGGTAATGGATAAATCCTGGGGGGGTTAGGAACTCTCCTCGGGTTTTCGCGGGAGCGAGGGCGGACGTACAGTTGCGGCCATTAAGGGGCGTCGTTTCGGAGCGGACGCGGAAAGCCCGGCATTCCGTTCGCGCCTGGCCGGGTCTGCGGACGCGCCGTAAAGGCAGCTTTCCCCGGGCCAACCGGGTCGGTTTCCGCGTAGCGTCTAATCCGGACGGTCCTCTCGGTTCCCGGAAAGCCCGGCCGCATTCCGCCGCCCCCTTTCGGCCGGTCCTTCGGCGGGATATGGCCGCGGGGTGTAAAGCCGAGAGGAATAACCGACGAATGAATAAACGACGGTTTCGCGGAAACCGGGCCTTAACCGACGGCGAAGTGGGAGAGTAGATCGGCCGCGCCGGTGTTTCCGCCTCCGATTCCGCTCCCCCTACCCTACCTCTCGATAATTTTATCCCGCGTTCCGCGCGTCCATTTGTTTGGACATTTATTTACGCCCGAGGGGCCGCGCGGTCTAGCGGTAATCTATGTCGCGCGGCCGCACCGCGTTTTTCGAGCCGCGTCTCCCGCTGGTGGCCGATTTCGTTAGCGCGGCCACCCTCCCCATGCCGCCCCCCCCCGCCCCCCTGCCCGCCCCGTTTCCCGCGGGACGCGAGATTGACGCTTCGCCCGATTTTTCCCGGCCGGCCCCCCGGGCGGCGAGCAAAAACCCGGCCGGAAAAATATTTGGCGAGCGTGTAAATTCTCATTCGATCGTAAACACCACGAGGCGAGGTGAGCCCGGAAAAAAGCTTGCGGACTCCCCTCTCCCCACTTCCTGTTGCGACCGAGGGTGTACGGGAGTATATCCGTGTGACGTATGTACGGGTGCATGCATATATACGTGGATGCATGTATGTATATATATATATATAATGGCGAATCGCGAGCACAGGCCGCAATTACATTACTGCTGCGCGTTTCCCGCGCCCCAGGCCCCCTCCCCCGGACCGCGCCGCTGCTCGTTAAACGAATCGTTTTTTTTTTTTTTCATTCCCTCCGTCTCGCTTCGACCGATCCCCCCTTCCCCGCCACGTCCCTCTCTGCGTCGCGTCCATCGACGCGTATCTGCTTTTACATATGCTTTCGAGCCGTCCTGCCATGTCGCCGTCCGAGCGGTGCTCGATGCCCTCGGCCGTGTCCCCCGCTCGCGGAGATGGATACGCGCGGCGCGATAACGTCCTTTTCCGATGGGCGGAAAAAAAAAAAAAAAAATGTATATATAGAGCGAGATACCTACCGTCGAATTGGCGTTGTCAGAAGTAATCCTCGATGGCATGGGGTATTCAGGATTTCTGTATTACCGGGGAAATAAAAAGTCCTACGGGGGTACGTCATCGCGCGCTCGCCTCGAGGGGATTGGAGGAACGCTCGCGAGAGCACTGACGCGAATTTTCTGGGAAAATTCGCGGATAAAGGGGAGAATGAAAAAAAAAAAAGGAAGATAAATTCGTTCGCGTTCATTCTCGCGTTGCCTCGTCCACGTTCGTTTGCCGGGACTCTCGACGTGCCCACCGTGCTGGGGCGAGAGGAGGAGGGAGGGGAAAAAGGAAAGGAATGGAAGGGAAGGCAAATCGGAGGCCGCGGCACTGCGGGCCCGTATAGACCATAGTCCCGTGACCGTGCAACCTAATGTAGTCCCTACCGCAGAGCCGAGGTTGCGCCATTCCGTGTCCGAGGACCGCAGATATATCTTCCAGCGACTGGCTCCATTCTGTCCGTCTCTAATTTTACCTCTGTCTACCCGTGTCTCCGTCCCCCCCTGCGAGGTGGAGGATTCGTTCTTCTCTTTTTCGGCCCGACTACCTGGCGGGTGCCCCCCCAGGATTCACCGCCCCTCCTCCGAGCTATGATATCCCGAAACTTTTTACGGGATAATCCGATGATCCTATTAGGGGTCGGGCTCCGTGAAATTTCACCTCGAGCCTCCGTTGCGATCGCTCGGCTGGGGATCATCCTTCGGGATGTGGGGTGCGGCAGGGGGCGGTTCACCCCGCGCGGCATTGTCGCAAAGTGCGGCGCAGGTAAACAGGGGCCGGGGGTCCTCCATTCGTGTACCTGGAATCGTTGGAATGGGAACGATGGGGAGATTTTCGCAGCTCCTTTTTCGAGACTTTATGGGGGGCGACCCCGTTTTCCCGCGGCGATGGATCGTAAATCGGGGGGTCGGGTTTTTGGGAGAATCGCGGTGGGCCAGGTCTTGAAGCTCGCTTGTATGGCCCGGTAATTAGAGATCAAAGGTTCGGGATCGTTGACGAACCATGGAGGCCATGGGCAAGGACCGATAATCCAGATTAAAAGAGGGTCGACCCAAGTAACAGGGATATCGGGTTGCACGGCATGGAGTTATGGATTTTTATCCTGGACGGTTAAACTCGAAATTTCCCGTCGAGCCGACCCGATAAGTGGCATGATTTTTGCTGACGAGGGGAAGATTAATGTGAAGTGGGAAAGCGTAAAGGAATAAATAAATGATATGGTCGACGGCTTCCCGGTGGTCCGTCGAATATCGCTGCAAGGGCCCCTCGAGAGCGGCTCGCGCGCGCTATTAATATATTGCGGGTTTTTGCGCGGCCTGTCCGCGGCCGAAGGTGTCCGGCGCGGACAGGCGTGTCATCGGTCGGTTTAATGGAAGCGATACCGATCGCGTGCCCTGCGGCAGGAATTGTGTGGTGAGCTTGCCGCCATCCTTTGCCTCGACGGGAAGGCTCGTCGGGGCGGTCACGCGAAGTCGCAGGGGGAGCGTCGAGTTTCCCGAGGAGGTTTGCGGAATTCTCGGACGAAACGCGTAATCCCAGGGGACGGCGCGGTGGAAACGACGGAGGAAAGTCGCGGGACGAGGATAGAAATCGGCGATTTAAGCAGCTTAAATGATCTAAACGGTTTAAGCGATTTAAGCGATTTAAGCGATTTAAGCGATTTAAGCGATTTAAGCGATTTAACCGAGTTAAGCGATTCGGACGACTCGAGTGAATCGAACAACCCGGCGAGGAGAGGAAACGCGCGGCAGTATTCCTGAAGTTTCCCCCGGGCGTTTTTCCCGCGGCGAGATTCACGCGCGGTAACGAGTGCGAAATTGTCGGCTTTTCCGCGGTCATATACGGGGCGCGTATACGCGTAACGAGCGCGGCGCGTTACCAGTTTGCGTGCGCCGCGGCACTTTGCCCGCGTTACGGTACATATTCTTGGCCGGGATTAACAGTCCCCTCGCGCGAGTGCGGGAAAATGCGGTAGTTTTCCGCTGGAACGGCCGGCTCGCGGTGGACCGCCTCGAGCTAATTCCACGACGCGCCGGCCGTTCGCGGAACGCTTTTAATTCTCACCTTTTAATGAAGCGATTCGTCGCGGCCGATTCCTCGCGCGGAATTCCGGAGTCTATCCGCGCCTTTCCCGCTCCCGATGTTTTTTTTTTTTTTTCCCACCTTCTTTCTGGATTGCCTTTTCATTGACGCCGACCGCGAGTGTCGATACTCGCGAGGAAACTTGCTCGGCGACGGGGATTACGTGGCGCGTTTGACAGTTGACGTTTGAGGTCTGCCCACGTGGTCCCCGAGTCACGTGGTCGGGGTCACGTGGCCCGCGCTTGGGCGGCAGACGCGGAGGTGCTGCGACCGGGCGCGGATCGAAAAGCACGGACGGCCGGCTATTTCCACAATGGAGATTTATATTGCTCGCCGATTACACGTAACGCGTTCCACGGTGTAATTCATCCCGGGTGTAATTACCGATGCAAGGCCGCGGTACCTGCGGGAACGCGGCGGCGCTCTCTAGCCTTCCAATTCGGTTTCTCTTCTCCCTCGGTCCGTCTCTCTCCCTCTCTTTCGCTCTTCCTCGCTCGTGGTCCTCCTTCTCTCTCGTCTCGATTTCAATTTCCAGCCGTAATCCCGACGGCGCGATCGTCCCATCTCTCTGACCGCTCTCCCTCGCTCTTTCGCCTCTTCGCTCGGGCTC